CATGTGTAAGGGGACACCAATAATGTCACACATCGGGCTCCATATTTATGGAATCACCTGTTTTCAAGGGAGACCTTTTTCCAGTTATTTGAATGTAGGGATATGGACACAAACCCTGCTCACCAGGATTTGTTGGTATCAAATAGGAATGCCACAACAACTCTTTCAGCAGTCTCTCGAATTATGAGACAACCTGCGAAATAATCCCATTGGCAATAGAAAAACCAAAGAAAAGTTACAACCTCAAATGATAAGCCTGAAGTTGCCCCTGAAGGGTTAATGTGGTGATTTTAACGATGCTGTCAAGCTAGGCTGTATGTACAATGTGCTCCAACTAGTACTTTTCTGAAAACTTTTGAATCTGTAGGGGAGTTGACCGTTCATCATTAAGTTGGAAAGCCATTTAAATGTAAAATGAGAGACCGGATTTCACACCAGCCTACTAAAGTATACAGAAAAAAAACCCCCAAAACTCAAATAACTCCCGAAAAGGGAACTTTTAAGGCTGCCGAAAACAGCCCACCTTCCTTGCTTCAAGCAGACATTCCTTAATTCAGACCGACAACTTGGGCACTGACACAAAGATATAAAGATGGAGCCAGCAAACCCCGTCCGAAATTGGGAATCCCGTTTTGGGTCCTCTGGAGGAGCTATCACAGTGGGGCCTCGAGGGCTGGCCTGGATATTCTACCAACTCCAGCCGACAACAAGTTTGGGAAAAAAGAAAAAGGCTAATGCAGGAAGGTCCCCCTCTCTTGGAAATCAAAATAAATTCCCTAATGGAATCCGCGACAGCAGTCTGACAAGCCGATGCTGGCCCAAAGCGTATCATAATTTTTTGGGGGGATAACACAGCATACTCCTTTGGGACACGCATGCATGTTATCAAGCAGTTCTCGGAAACTGTCCAAATCCGGTACATCAACAGTTCATGCTGATTTCACTCTAAAAGTGTTCATTAAAGCTGCAGTTTTCAAATTACTAAATACCAGCACGCACAGAAAATCAACCCCGCCTTTTCACAAAACGGTAAGAGGAGAATAAAGCCTCCCGTCAATACAAAATGCAAGACAAAAGAAAAATTGGGCAGGTGGCTCATTCCAAAGCTGAGAATTTAACTCATTCCTCATTTAGAACTGTTCTTGATAAACTGTTCTCATTAATTATGGGCACGCTGGGATCTTTCTGGATTTTGCAAATTATGCCTGACGTGTTTCTTCAGTGGTGCCTGCGTATTTGACCGGTGCCAAATATCACCATGAAATAATTCAGAGCGTTTCCTCATTACCACGCACAGTTTTGTGGGTCAGGGTGGGCCTGAATTTGCTGGAATTAGACCAGATTCTTCGAAATCAGTCACAGATACGAGTGAAAAATGTCAACATTCTCCAGTAGATGCTACGGGGAGAACATTAAGTCGGCACCTGATCCGGCAGGGAATTTCTGCAAATCGAAACTACAGATACATGGTACCGGTGCATGTCGGCTCAACTGACTAGCCAAACAAGCTCAGACGACATGGTCCAACGTTTCTTTGAAGTATGACCTACATAAAGAAATATTTTTCTAGACAGTGGAACAACAAGAAAGCGAAATCCTAATATTGAAATATGAGGGCCATTTTAATCAGGACAGTTTTCGAGATCATCTTGCGAATGTCAGGTGATCGCGTTCAAATTCGGCGAAACTTCTTAAGATGCCTCTGTGGGTAACAAGTTGTTTTGAGAATATGACTATGCCTTCATTCCCCAGACTTCTTTGTTTGAAGAGTGAAGTACGGTACCGTACTTCGGAGACCCTGAAGTACTTCTAGGCCTCAGCTGCACCCGCGAGAAAAGGATGGTCTAAGAGTTATAAATGAGGTTTAGACCCGATCAGTTTTTATGGCCAGCTTCTCTGAATTCACAAATATGGGCCAAATGGTAAAAGTCACATATGCTAGTTCAAAAGTTTGTTTCAATGAGGAGATGTCTGATTTCATTTGCAATGCAGCACTTTTGAGCTCAGTTGAGAATCAATCCAATTCTGCCAGGTTTTGATCTTTTTTAATCAAAAATGTTAAGCAGCGCTCAATTTTTCTTCTCGTTTACAAGGCACACGAAGATGAAAGTAACTATACACGACAGCAGGTATACAGGAAATTTCCACGTCATTCAACTAATCATCCACATATGCGAGTTATTTTTTTCCTTTTCAATTGTCGGCAGGGGCTCACAAAAGCGTGTGACCCCTGGCTAGATTGGATTTTCATTTCAAATATTAGCTTCTTTTCTCAATACCCATGGCCCGTCATTGTCCCAGCTGCCTGATTTATCACTCAACAGATTTATCACTGATTGGAGGTAATGAAAATACCACAACCAAAAGGGGCAGTTTTCTTTTAATTCAACAAAACACTTTCTCACACCAGTCCTACTTAGATAGGAGTATATTTTGTCAAGACATGGCAGCTATATATGAGGCATCAACTTGATTAAGGAGGGGAGGAATTGTCCAAATGGGAAATATTTGTAAATATTTGCCCCCTTGAGTAACGCCCCGGCGGGCCCTTGCATGTGTTTGCCAATGAACGGTATTCGTGGGGGACCCAATTTCAGTCGGATTCCTCAAGGTAGTGTGTTCATTTGAAAGGGGTTAATCTAAAGAACCAGACTCTATTTCACCATTTCAATCTGACCCCCCAAATTACCTGGTACCATCCCATTAATGGTTTCAAATGTATACAAATATGTCCAGGATTACGACTGAAATTGGGTCTCCCGCGAATACAGTCTGTCGAATACACTCCTATTTCTGAAGCTCTACAAATGCGGAGCATTACTATAGTTGCTACATGAACACTTCCAAGGAGTAAAATCTCACGGAGCTCCGGAGACAACATCTCTGAAAAAATGTACCTGCCTAGCCAAATCAGCTTGGTACCAGTGACAAAACAGCAAGGGACTGCATGGCAGCTTGGGTGGGAAACCGTTGATTTTTGCTCAGCAGGTGTTTTGAGCACTCTTAGTTATTTCTATGCTCGGCCGCCCTATGCTACTGACCCTTGTTGTGCGCCCAGAACTCGACTGTTTCCCTCTCATTGCAAGAAATGCACATTCAGCTGCAAAATGGTCGCGTGTCTACTTGAATGTGAGGAGCACATGCAAGTGATGTGTCCTTCCACAGTTCTCGGGAGAAATCCAAACAGCGCCACCTACAGTTCATGCAGAGTCCACGGTAAAAAAAAAAATGCTTACAAAAACCTGACCAAACCAAACTAAAACTCCCATCAAGCCCAGCCCAGCCCAACCCAACTGAACCCAACCCAGCCAAGCCAAACCAAGCCAAGCCCAGCCCAACCCACCCAAAAATTAACAACAGCTGTTTGAAAAAAAAAAAAAGCACTCTGAAGCTGTTTTATTACACACACACGAAACAGGTCACACTAGTGAACCGATCCCATTTAAGGTGAAACCGCAATAAAGGGCTGGACGAAACCAAGGCACAATAGGGGGGGGGGAGTGGAACACCGAAATGCACATAACAGTGCCTTCAGGTCGGGAAGATGTTTATCTCGCTTTCTCCACTTTCCCAAATACAAATTTGAAGTAGGTCAATTGGCACTAATTTTCTTCACTATTCTACACTTGGGACCTGGCCGACACAACCCAAAAAAAAAAAACCCAGAGGCCAAAGAAAAAAAAAAGAAGGATTATTTGTGAATTGACACAGACAAGTTTGTGGATGACTTGGCTACAGTTGCAGAAGACTTTCTTCTCAGCCAGGTCGTGGACAGATAAAATCAGATCAGATTGGGTGTGGGAGATTAAAATGGGCAGAAATATTTCAATTCAATTTTTTCGTCGTTATAGAGAAATCTCTTTGCAGCAGTGAATAAAATTGTTGCGTGCAATCGGTCCGATAAGCCTGGGTTTTGTATCAGGTGGTTTTTTTTCCTGGTTCATAACACAGGTCATTACACTCTTAACCTTTCAGCTCTGCAAAAATTCTTTGTCAGCTGAACACTGGAACAGTTATGTGGCGGCCAAGGGTTTGAACCTTTAATCTTCTATGCTGAACCAAAATTTCACTGAAAATTTTATCAGCTCTCACAACGATGCATCATACAATGCTTTTTGGCTAAAACATCTATATCTTCTCTGAGTGATTATCATCTGCCATTGTTCCAGGTTTGCGACATCGGTGATGTTAACGGCATTTTGGCTCGGGTGGGATCCCTCGCCGCATGTCGCGGACGCACTTACACAACTTCAGACTAACACTCAATGAACACAGAATGACATACTGAAAGACTGCAAACATCAGACTGGATGACTGGGTTGTAGTTAGAGCAAACAATAGAGGTTCTCATCAGTTGCAGATTTAAACCTCAAGTCAAAATACCCGTAACAAAAGCTGTTTTCCTGCCAGTAAGACCAGCAACCCACCACTACTGGCCGCCAAATCAACACCCACAATATCGGCAAATTTCCAACCGGCATATTTCTGTACGCACATCCACGCAATGGCTGTCCATCTACTTCAATCCTTAGTTCCAACAGATAATTGGACTGTAACAATTAACTATGCCACTGTTGGTGTATGGACAAAGAATACAATCTCATACAGGCAGGCTGTAGCTTCAATTTGCACAGGTGTCCAACTACACCTGCAGGTCTGCTCTATAAGATTACAACCGTTACATAGTAAAAACCTGCCCATATACTTGTATGTTTGTCAAACGCTGCGGACTGCAGGAGCAGACCTGTGCATGTAATACTTCTCAAGGCAAATGGTACGCTGCATATGAACTGTGGTCGGACTGTTAGTTGGTCTGACTCTCCAATACCAAAGCGCACAAGAAATACAGTACTTGAATGGGAACTGGTGATACTGTAACCATGGTTACCGGATTCTTCAATAACCTTTTACATATCAAGAGCCTAAGGCCTGAGGTTAACAACAGCTGAGCAGACTGGCACAAGAGGGGTCATGGGCTGAGAAAAAAAAAATGGACTTACTGAGTTCCTCGGCGAGCTCCACCCTCCTGCCTTTGAGAAGTCGAGCCTTGAGATCTGAGTCGTCGCCAAAGTCTTCCAGGATTTGCTTAACCTCCATCTCCAGCCGCCTTGCTATTATTTTGAAATTGAATTAAAAAAAAAAACGTCAGCACTGAAAATGATGAACTGGTGCCTCACTTCAAAGCACCCACGATGCTTTCTTCTTGGCTTTTGTGCGGACCACATCAGGCCCTCACTAGTTTCTTGTGAAGACCACTGCAATACCAATCTTATCGTGCCAAACCATCGACATCGCCACTGTAAACACAAGAGGGCGTATAGCTTATTCTCTGACCTACCTTCAGTGTTCATGATTTGCTGTCGTAGGACGTTACTGGTGAGTTGAAGCATCTTCTGTATCCTCCAAAACAGGACAATGTCGTGGCATTCCATCTGGGGCAAAAACAGCAAAGGTGAAATCAAATGTCTGAACTGGACTTCATTTGGAGGCTGAGACAAAATTGGTAGGGGCAACGGTAATGGTGGGGCGGGGAGGGGAGTGAAATAATGTTGAAGTCAAGTCTGGGTCCCGGACGCTAAGGCAAAACTGAGAGGTTTTTTGCAGCAAAACAACAAAAGTTCACGCGAGTCCAGGGCTATTGGCTCGGCGACGGCTAATGATCTTTTGAGTTTTCAAAGGCTTCCTAAATTTGAGATGGTATTGTTTCCTGACCGCTCACCCCAGAATCGCTGAATCCCCGCTGGTAATGGAAGAACCCTTTGCGGCACTCCTGAGCTTTGTTGATGGCCTTCTGAAGGAAATATTTCCGATAGAGAGGGTGCCAAGTCTCTCGTATCTGATGTGGACAAAAAAAAAGAAGGAAAAAGCAATCAGAAAAGTGCTGGGCTTGGAGGAAATTTCAGTCCAGGTTGTAGCGAAAAAAGAAACTGCTCTACATTTATTTCATCGGTTTTTGAATGTTACATTTTATCAGGTGGGTAAAGTGATTATTTCGATGGTAAGGGGGGGCCAAAGTTCGTGTGTTGAAGAGAGTTTTGTGTGGTTGGGGCTGGCAATTTCTTCCTAGTGTCGTTGGTTAATAAAGACTTGAGAAGAGACTAGTCGCAGTCCCAAACTAGCCTTTGCCTTTTTTAATGAAGAGGCCTATGTGTTAAGAACACCATACAGGGTTGAGCTCATGCTAGTCAAAACAGTGAAGTTGGTACTTTCTTGACCTCACACATTAAAGAAGATGGAACCTGAGGAGATTTTTGCCTTTTTATGTAAAAGGGACACAGAGTAAAACAGCCCATTTTTAAATACTAAATTTATTACATGTTTAACCAACCATACATGCATGTGCGTGCACCCAATAACACGAGTTGATACGATCTAGCATCTGGTTTGAGAAGTCAAGCAAAAATGTTTATTCCCATTCAAGCACAATACTTACAAACTCACTGTCCACGGACACAGCCTTGGTTTCAAGGTTCTTCTTAACGGCTGTCACCTCGTCACTGGACAGCACAGGTTGGTGCTTCTGCGGTTCAAGGTGAGAGTTCAAAATGTCAACACCAATCAGCAAAGAAGCTGTTTACAAGATGTATTTTTGTTTTTTGCATTGGGGAGATGTTAATTATATATAACGGGTTTGCCCTTACCCAACGTATATTAATAAACACTGTATGCTCAGTGCTTGTCCGAGAGCTTGCGAAAAAAAAACCTCACAAGCTTACTCGGGTAAAAAAAAAAGTCTACATTTAAAAAAACAAAGAAGCTGTATTGTTGAAAATCCGACGCGAGTGCAGTAAAGCCATGCAAACCGGTAGGGCACTCTTTGCATTTGAGATGAGTTGTGATCAGGCAATGTAACGGCTGTTATGTCATGGACTGCTGAGTCCACTAGATTAATTTTGGGGTAGAATGCACTGGTACCTACCTCTGAAGCTTGTAGAAGTTTCTCGAGTTCTTCCTTAGCATGCCTCCTGTTGCTCTGCGAAAGTAAAACAAAATTTGTCGACTGTCGGTTTGCCTCTTAAGATTTGGAAACTGCAGTTAATTTCGCTGACGTGAATGTGATATTGGATGTTGTAGAATACGTAATCAATGGTCGGAAGTTGCAAACTGAACAGAATTGGGAAGTCCCAAATAGAGTAGACTAGGTCAAACTGATATGCCGAAAAGACAGCTTGGCAAGCAATGCTAATCTAGATAGGGTCTACAAAGGAAATAAGGGTCTTCCAACCTGTTCGGTTGTGAGTGATTTCCAGTAGAGCCACCGCTCACTGGTACCCGGGCCCATCAGCTCTTGAATGAGACTGTCGGCTAAGGAGTAAGAAAACACAAACATCCTTTTTTGGGGAGGAAACATTTTGGAAGGATGGTTATTTCATAAAATACGGCAGAAATGCATGCATATCCATGGAATAAAGCTTGCGAATAATAAAATTCTTCTAAAACCAGTTTTTAATCTCACTGCATTTTCATGCTGACTTTTTGGAAGCAACCCTCGAGAAGTACACCTGCACTTTTATTTCCTGGAAATTAATTTACTTTCAAGCAACAGGGGTAGAAATGTCACAATAAAGCGAAAATGGTTTCAAGCCAAAATCATCGCTCACTTTCTTGCAGTCTGTTCTTCAGCACGCTGTCCATAAACTTGATGGCTGCGTCCCACTGCTGTTTGTCGTGGACCGACCGATCCTCCAAGGCATTGACTTGCATCACCCTCTACAAAGAAATGGAGAAAAAAGTCAGTCGGGAATCACCTGAAGGGAAAATCAACGACAAGTTCTTTGGGGATGACTTAAATTTGCATGCGATGCTCTGGAACGTTTTTGTTTTTGATGTTTATTGTTCAAAATGTGACTAAGAATTTCTGAACAGACGGATTTATAATGTAATGATGTTTTGGGCAACTATCGGAAATAAAATTGGAAACGAAGGAAAACGTCAGAAAATTTTTCGACATCTGGCATATTTTGCTTATGTACTTATAAATTCAGCCCCACAACAACAGACCACTCGCCCAAATGGCAAATGATATGCACTACATGTAACTGGCGCCGCACCGATTTCTGCTAAGACAGAGAATTCGCTTAGCGGCATTTCCTGCTAAGCGGCGCCGGACTCTGCTTACCAGACTGTCGGCTGCCTGTTCCTGCCATTTGTGCCTGTTGATGCCTTCCTGCTTGACAGCAGACTTCACGTCGTTGAAGAGTGGGTCGTGAATGGCCTTGACCTTGTCCGCGTCGATCAGTTTGGAGAACTCCTCCACCAGCGTTTCCAGGGCAACCTGAGACAAGGGGGAGATGATGCAACTGGTTTGAAACTCAAAACATAAAATGCGCACAACTGTAGACGAATCTGTGACAAGTGGACTCACCATTCAACCACAAATCGATTGTGAGCGGCAGGGAATAAGCAGCGAAAGAAAGAATGCTTCTGTCAGAGTTCATCTGAGTAGCCGCCGGGCCTGTCTCAAGGACTGGGTGACTTGTGACTGGCTTACTTGTGACTGGCTTGTGAGATCACTGAGATCACTTTTGCATGGTGTGGACGCAAAACTTCGACAGGTTAGCAGGCACAATGTGGACGTGGAACGTTTATCACTTTTGGCTCTCTGGAATGTAAATGTCCAGCCTACGCCTACAGATTTTAGGCAGAACTGAGACTGGGCACCCTGCGACCCAGCAATGATGTCCCGCTTTGCTGACGAACAATGAGTGTGCACTAGTTTGCATGTGAATGGTACGGAGCATGCATGAGTATTTTCATCTAAATGGACACAAACTTTAATGTCTTTGCACAGGTGCTCGACCTAACAACATCGCTGGACTGTCCGCCAAGCATCTCTCCTTGTCACCAGAGACGGTGCACTCGTGCGCAGTGCCTAATGCATGGACCTATCTTTGCAGCATCCTGCTAGGAATGTTGCTTTACTCACATCGACACTTTTCTTGGGGAGCTGTTGATCTGCCCACTGTTTGAGTTTGATGTCAACTGTGGTGTTGAAAGTCCTGTGGCGTGACAGTAAAGCCAAAAAAAAAAAAACAAGCTGTCTGTCAAGAGCATCGGTAGAGAGGATTTTCAGTCATGTCAGTTTTGATGGTAAGCATTCAATGTACACGGATGTGCTTGGAAACGCGTTCACCTTCGAAGTCTCTCAACATTTTGGCGTGCATGAAACTGCCAATAGAAATACACAGATTCAAAAATGCAAGTGCCTCCATGGACAGGTGCGCTTCCTGAAAAGTCTTTGCCAGTCATGTTATGTCATGTGAAAACCTCTATATCGTGCACAACATTGACAACTTGTCATGAAGAAGAGTTTCTTACAGATGTTCACTGAACTGAATTTCTCTCCTTCTGGGAGCTATCTTCCACAACTCTCCTTTTTTATAATTTTTTGGACTTAGGGTAACCTTGGGTGATCAAGGCTTTTTTAGGTAAATTAACATTGGCTGAGCTGTTTGTTCTATCCTCGGTATCCTGAGGTCGTGCATCGGATCTATTCCTTACCCGGCATCCGGTGACTGGGCAGCTGGGAGGTAGATGTTCTCAAAGACGTAGCCTGACATCCTCTCCCACAGAACCTTGGACAAAGCGTCTTCCCTGCAAAACCAACAGAAATGAAAAAAATAGGCAGTCTAAATGGATCACTAGCAACCATACGAACAGAACAAAGGCCTCCAGAATTGTAGAAACAAATTAAGTTGAAGTAAAGATGGGACTGCTGCAAAACAGGTCAAATACTAATAACGCCAAGAAACATTTTTAATCTCCCGACAGATATGACCAGAACTTCAGTTTGTTGGCAAACGAGTCGCAGTTGAAGCTATCAGTATCTAGGACTCACCAGACTTTGGGTTGAATCTCACTCAGACAAAGCACCTCATCCAGTATCTCGCTTTTGGCCTTCTCAAACAACTCGTCCTTCACAGAAAAAAAAAGACAAGGACTGAGCTTTCAGCTTCTCAAATTTGAACGGCACTCGAGCAAGGAAGCCGTCAGCGTCCATGGTTTTTGGGCCTTGGGAATCACAGGAGGTGCCATACTGCCGCAAGCAGCAATAGCCTGGGGGAGAATACGAAAGGGCTTACCCTGTCAAGTTCTCGGAGCCTTGTAAAATTGTTCTTCCATTCTGTCTCCAAGTTAAACCTCGTGGCTGTTGACAAGAAGGGAGAAATGACTGTCACTGAGAAAGAGTTCAACAAAGACGCAACACTTCACACTTTAAAATGATGCATTGCCAGGAAAAGATAAACTGTCAACAAAACACAGACTGACGAAAGAAGCAATCCTCAATAGGTTTTGATGCCCAAGAGCGTACACACCTTTGTAGATGTCAGCCTGTTGCGTGACCGACTCCTGCACCATCTTCCAGAAACAGTCGGACACGGCAAAGCTCAGGTTCTGTGTGGTCATCTGACTGGGCTTCAGGGTACCAGACCTGAAGTAAACGCAAAAGAGGTGTCAACCTGTCTCTCGGAATTTCCAAACCTACAGCAGCTTCGCGGCAATCTTTAGGAATCACACGACACGGTCTTACTCTAAATGCATGTCGGGTATTTCAGAGCTAACTGAGAGTACGTGAGAAAAGAATGCAAAGGCTTGGAAAGTTGGGACCACATGATTCATTGGATGGTCGTTTTCACGCCAGAATTGGCTTCTTTGGTTACCATAATTACTGATGTGTCTGAAGCCATGCTGGTTTATTTTGAAGGGCCAGTGGAAAGTTCTCCTAGATTTGGCAAGTCGGTAGACGGAAATGCAAAATATACGTCAAAAAAGTTGAGTAAATTGGGGGTCCATCTTACTTGAAGAGTGCTGATCCCCTGAAGAACTGTTCCTCATATTTACGGATTGTTTCTATACTGTCACTTGTATTGCCTGAGAAATAAAGAAAAAATAATAAATAAAAAATAAATAATTAAAATAAAGAAGTAAACAAACTCATCAACAAAGCAGAGATTTTCCATCTTATTCTCTCCACACAAAAAAATTCTAAAAAGGAATCCCAACTTAAAATAAGAAGTGATTTCCATTCAAAATGTGGTTTAAAATTAACACTGCAATCCGATCCATCTCCATTGCTTTAATCTGCGTAAATTCTGTTTCCATTTGTTATACTTGCAGCTAAAAAATCTTTGCTTGGAATTTTTTCAGTTTGAAGTTTTCCCTTCAAGTTGAAGAGACACATACGCCGGCGTCTTCTTTCTCTGCTGTCCCGTACGGCATCATACCTTTTCCGGTAACCACGGCAAAATATCCCAGGGCCTTCATTGGGAAGAGATTTCCTTCAAGAATTTGCTTTATCTGTGGATGAACAAATAAAAAAAAACCATCTGTGAAGAAGTCACATTGGAAAATTGTCACATGCTAGGTTCACAGAAACGGACTGATAGTTCATCTCTACGACTTTTCTTTCAGAAATGTACTCAAGATTCTTGGGCACTTTGAGACGAGCCGACAGTTTAATGACACCCTTACATAAATGTACATATTTGCATCGTGCTATGCAGCTGCAAAATGACAACAAGCCAATGAAGAAGAGAACTCATTTCCGCTCACCCTGCTGGGGTTGGCGGCGTTCCTCTCAGCGAGGTCCACTTTGGTCAGGACAAAGATGGTCCGCTTGCCCTGGGGGTCCACGTCACTGACCAGGTCGGTCACTATACTCCTCTCGGCATCTATTGCACCATCTGTCATTGTGGGAGGGGATTACATTGTTAACCCGTGGCTCTAGCCCACCGCAACGTAAACATTATGCAACGTCTGTCAGATATGGAAATCTTCTGCAGTTGCCCTAGCTCTCGATGGACTAAAGCTCAGCATTTCCGCCGCAAAGCCAGAAATTTGAGACCATTTGAAAACGCACTGTAAGTCCTTGCCTTGTATACAGAGTATGATAGCATTGGGGTTGTTCATGTACATCTTGCTTAGTCTCTGGATGCTGTCCTTAGTGTCAGCTGCCATTCCGGTGGTTACAGTCTGCCGGCAAAAAGGAACAAAAAAGGCAAAAATCAGTTAAATGGTTTACTCACAATCTAGCGAGTAACAGGGTGTATTAAGAAACTGCTTACTGACTTATGTGACCTGAAATCGTACGAATCTTTAAAGACGGAGGGCCTGATGTTTACGATTCTTGCACAGTCTTCCTCAGGGCACGGGCTTTGCTTGAAATAGCCAGCGTGGGAGAGTTTCTGTTTTCCCCCCCTTCTCTTGGCCCCGCCTACCCTTCTAAACTCTTTCTACTTACACTGATGATGCCAGGAAGATCCACCAGGACCATTCGTTGGATGCCAGGCCCTCGCACGCTCAGCGAAATCACCTGTTTGCAAAAGAAGTTCCACTTTTTAAAATATCCACGCTATCTCGTGAAATAACACCGTGTCTGTGACATCGCACCAACCACTTGCACACTACAGCTATGAAGCTGGCACAGACAAGTTCTTGACATCTAAAAACTGGTTCTTACATCGGTGCTGATGGTCTGCCCCTGTTGCACACTGTTCTTCATACGAAGCTCAATTTCTTGTCTCAACGCCTTCAGCTGTTTGAGGTCAAAGACGAAAAATCAGGGGGTGAGACTAGAGATTAAAGAAAAACCCACACATCTAGAAGAGGGCTTGTAACAACGACAACGTGACTTTCCAAGGTTGTTTATGGGTAAAAAAATGTACGAATTCTCTCCCAAATGGCTATGATTTGTGTCAATCTTGCACTCTGTTCTTTACAGCGCAAAAATAAGTAACTGATTCATATGTACAAAGTTTTTAGAACAGTTTTCTGACAAACGTTTTTGATGATTTTTATTTCTACGGGCCCTGAGCTGGACCAAGAGAGGGCGCAATTTTCCTAGCAACAGAGGCTCCTTTGGTAGGAACTTCACTTTGCTGGTTCACAAAGGTGCATGCGTTGCATGTGCGTGGCTACCAACAAAATGAACACTTCCGACAGGTGCGGATCTTGTCAACCAATGAGCAGCGGCTTTTGCTCAAAGCAGATGGAGCATCATCTACCTCCGCCTCCTTGGAAAGGTCAAACTCCCTGTTGCTGTCCTTGAACTGCGCTACGTGTTGGGGACCCTCGCTGAGCGTGACCTTGACGGGTGACCTCGTCATCATCTCACCGGAGCCCCTGCATACAAACCAAAATACTTCGAACGCTGTCCACCATCTACGGTCTTCCACAAGAACTATTCGTCCCCAACTGAAAAATCTTTTGCCACATCAGTCATTTTTGTAAGGAGTCCTCCAAACAAACTGTCCAAGAATCTAACAGGACTTTGCTAACTTTCAAGGGGCATTCACTCACTTGTGAAGAAATAGTGGCAAGGTTTTCTCTTCCTTCAACTCTTCCTTGATGGGTTCTGGGGTATCATGGGCAGTTTTATGGTTAAATGTTTCAGAAATATCTTATGGATTGGGGGTATTGAAAATAAACTTTATGTACTGAGAAATTATGAGTAGAAGTCTCTTCACTAGAGAGAGAGTTGTTGGAGAAACAAAAATATCAGTTGTGATCATACCTTGGAAATATCCTGGCTTGGGCGATCATCTCCAGCACACTGGTCTTACCAGCACTCTGATCACCGACGACCACAACCTGCAAAGAGCAGGACACCCAAATCAGAATCAATGGAACTAAGAAATGAAGATGAACCTTCCTTCCAGATCCCAATCATTTGAATACAAACTTACCCTTGGTAGATGGTCCTGCATCTGGTATGACTCGTCAGCTCCAGCCAGCTCATCTAGGACTTCGGAGTACATGTCGATCAAAGATTTCTGAGAGAGCAAAGACAAGATATCAGGAGGTGCATGTGTGGCCTTGTGGTGAAGGTTTGTCACTCCCGATCATAGGGTCGGAGGTTCAAATCCAGCAGCTGGTTAGCTGCTGTGACCACGGGCAAGTCCTTTACCCCACCTGCATCTCTTAACCTAGGAGTGCAAATGGACACCTCTGAGGGTCGCAGGTTAAGCGTGCTCTGTCACTGGCTGCCTCAGTCGGTTTCATGGCTTGATAAACAGGGGTAACAATTACATCTCCAGCAGCAGTACTGCTTGAAATGATCACTTTGGAAATTATCATTATCATTTTTTTTTCACTACAACTCAACCGTTCAGGAAACCACACACTGAGCTCTGCCATTTCACCCTTGACCATTCTTACGTAGATATCATTAGGCAGAGTTTGAGGAAACCGTAAGCGATGTTTCTAACCTTTTCTTTAGGTGTCATGGCGTGTTTATCTCCCCTGAGCAGGAGCGATTTCTTCAGGCGTCTGTTGTCCCTCTCGAGTCGCTCTATCTCACGCTGGTATCTCAACTTTAGAGCAAACAGAAGACGCCAACTTTCCAGGTATTAAGTCAGTCAGATCAAAGCAATAATTTATAAATGTACAGGGATCAGGATGGGTAAAACCCCAAAGCTTGGCTGCCCAGTGTTGTGCATTACTGTCCAGAGGGTACACGAACTGTTTCACCCGGATCAACTTTTCAAATGATTGTGTCCTACAAGTATCTGCTCTGTGCAAACTCACTGGGGCTTTCCTGTCGGATTTTATAAAGCAATTTCTGCAGTGTGGTGTTCATCTTTCCTGTCAGTTTTTTCTCCTTTTACAGCAAACTTTCCGTGTGAAATATTAAACCTAGACTGAGTGACGAAGCAAAACCTTGGCATTTCATTGATAACTGCGGGCAAATGATTTTTTACCCGTCTTCGGTAAGAGCCTTCAATCTTTTTCCAAGAGCAGTGTCAGACGGTATAGCACAAGATGATCCCTGAACACAATTTAAGAGCAGAGCGGAGACTACGTCTCTGAATCAAGTGCAATCATGTGTGGAAATGCCTCGCAAACGGTAAGATGATGTACTACAAACAAAATGCAGTACCAGGGAAAATAACAGCCTCGTTACTGCCCTTAACACAAAACGTGCAATTAGGGCAATAGCATGGTTTCATTGAAGGTGCTGGTATCCCTTTGTGCACTGGTTGTCAGTGGTTTCAAGTCGAACGCTGACCCATCCAAAGTGAACCCAACAAATATTTGAGTTTGGAAGTACTCTCCCCACTGGGTACACTTCATTTTAAGTCTCACCTGGGTTTCTAGAAATTCTTCTTTGGCCTGCTCCAACTTTTCTTTGTCACTTGGCTGAAATTGTTGGAGACACAAGATAAAAAGAGAGAATGCCAAAACCTGAGTCGATTGTTGCGTCAAAAGATAGGGATGTAAATGCAAGATGCCACTTAGAATTTTTGCGGCAAGGTGTTACGTAGAGAAGCTACGTGTACATGCATCACTCAACTATATCCTGCTAAAAAAGAGAATTTATTTTGAATGTCTCGGTGAACAGGTTAAAAGGGCAAACGGTCCAAGAGTACAAGTATACATATATGAAAGAAATTCAGATTTTGCTGGCTTTAAATTTTGCGGGAGAAAGTCTCCAGTTTGTTACCAAGTGGCACCGCACTGCATTTTACAAAGATGAGTGATTGGCTCTTACCCCGGGTGGTGTAGCGGGCAGATCTGTGGACTTCTCATCTGTTTCCGATGAGTCAGCTTGAAATGAAGTGAAGAAGCTTTTTCCTTCTTTTCCTGAGACGGAAACAAACGAGAACAAAAAAAAAAAATAAATAAATAAATCCTTCCTAATGAAAATCTACATTTGAAAAATTACCTTTCTTTCTGCCCCGTTTCTGGACACATACCTTTGTATTTGTAGATTTGTTCAAGTAATCCTGCGTCTAATTCTAAACAGGCACAATGGATGCACTTGCTGTGCTTACACCAATTAACCCTAACCCCCTAGGGTGTATGTAAAATCGTATTGAAATTGGAGGATTTGGGACTGTTAGGGTTAATGAATGGAACAGTAGAGCAGCAATACAGCCATGCAAAGGGAACAGCTGCAGGTGAAGTGGAATAACTTGAAAGTGCACAGGATTCGATGTTGGAGGTGGTGCTTGTTTTTTTTTCTTGAAATATGCAAATTGCTGGGAACTGTTGTGACTGATGGAAATGTATAGCTGGTACGGCCTGTTATTGTTAGGTTTTGTTTGTTTTTTAAGGAAAGGCTTTTTGAAAATTCTGAAATGGTGCTTTGAGTAACGGACTTGAGGGACATTTCTCAAAGGAATAAAAACACAGCCAAGGACAAAGTGAAACAGTTTCTCTAGGAACATCTATGGCACAGAAAACACATTAGACCAAAATGATCCAGGGCTAACTATCTGGATTCCACGCATTGCTAACAACAAAAAAAACTACAAAATTTCATTTTATGATGGTACAAGTATTAAATAAAACAGACCATGTTTATTATGAAAACCAAACTGGAGTGATGAAATAATTATAAAGGGAAATGAATGGGAGTAGCTTTCATTGAAAATTATGCAAGCAAAAAAAAATTGGCAAAATGGGGAGGTGAACCAGAGACCTGCGGACTGCATGTCCAGTATTTTACTGTCTAACATTCAACCCTGTTCTCTCATTCTGAGCAGACAGACAGAATGCAAGGCTCAACAGTTGATACCAAAGAAGGTAGAGCACTAGACCTGCAGTCTGATGGTCCCTGGTTCATGTTCATTCCATTTAAGCTAGATCCGATTCACTAAAATTTCAAGATCCACTGAAACTGTTGAGGTAAATGTACACACCTGCCCACTGTAAAGTCTTTGAGATATTTTCCCTGCCTTCATCTAGGGACCCCTGATGCTCAAACAACAGTGCATCTGACGTAGAAGGATGAAAACAAAGAAAGAAGATGTAGAACAAAACTATGAAAGCAAAAGTAGGGGCTTTTAAATGGGGAGGGTGCGTGAGTTTGGGGAAAGGAATGCTTAGTGGGTTGCAGCATGCTTAGGGTTTGGAGATGGGGGATTGATTTTGGAAGAATGGAACAGTCTGATCCTACATTCAGAATATTTCAAGGAGGCTGGCATGGGCAAACTGCGCAAGGAAATATTTAGCAAAAGGCTAGTCTTTTCAATGAAACTGCAAACATGGGGTAAATTGAAAGCTGAAGAGAAACTTCTGCTCAGAATGTAAGCAGTCTTGATTCTGACAGTAACTCGGTTGCTTGCTAATTTTTTTATTATAAGAATGTTTTTATTTGTATCTTTCTGTTGAAAATCGACATCTAGGATAACAACGAAAATGGGAATTGGCTGGGAAAATATTAGACAGCATGTAACAATACAAGAAGCGTGATGTGACAAAAGTTTGGGCAGGCTTTGAACAGAGCTGTTCTGAATTAATCATTAAACTGGAATGAAAATTAATGGGCACAAACACTCTGCAGAGTGTACATTAAGAGAACAAATGTTTCATTTTTTTTTCTTTCGAGAAAAATATGCACGAAAAAAAAAATGACACCAGCAAGCAACATCACAACTGACAGAGGAAGCTTTGTGCAACTTAAGCTTTTCACATGGACAGTGGCAAAATTGACATGCACACCTTTGAAGGCAGAGAAAAATCTCTCATTCTTTTTGGTTTTTTTTTGTGTGTAAAATAAAATTGGGAAACTGCATGCACGGCCAGAGAAATCAAAACAGACAAATATAAAAAAAAAAGACCTGAAATTTCACTGGTAAAATAGACAAGATCGTATCAGAGTAAGATAAGTACTGATAAGGTGCGTTGGCTTAGGGGTGAGTTACTTCGATTTGATTTTCTCGTCGGATAAACCTGCCTTGAAAACTTTGACCAATTCTTTAGCTTATCTGTGACCCTGCCAGATGCAACACAGTGCATCGGATGAAAAAAGTTGGACGCATTTTGATGCACTGGGGCATCAACAGCAGCCGAACAAACTGGCCAGCCAAATACTCCCAGGCACCCCCCCTCCCAGCTACAGCACTGCCTCACAATGAGGTTACCCGGTACCCACCTTCCCTGGCTTCCGGTATCCACCCTTGGAAGGACTCCCTGGTGGGCAGCGTGCCTTTCAGCCAGCCTTTCTCCGGCAGGTGGATGTGGCTGGCCAGTTTCTTCATTTCGGCCAAGGCGTGCCTGAAGGTACTACTGTCTGGGGTGTAGCGGTCAATCCAGGACATGTCCGGCAGCTTATCAATCCAAGAATTATAAGTCTGGAATGAAAAAAAGGCGACTTCAATAGGTCTTTTGCTTGGGCCTGATAAAGGAAACAGCACATGACGTTCTGAATTATACAAACCAAGAAAACAGTGCACATTACAAACTTCAAATGGCAGGAGTTACTAACCTTGGACCACAAATGGTGAAGGGATCGATACAAAAATGATTTTGATTAAATCTGTTTTTGAAAACGAAAACTGAAAAAAAAGTTATTCAACTCAAAAGCTGAGATTTGAAGTTTTTCACGGTGAAAGTGGTAAGCAAAGGTAATCGGTTTGAGGTAGCACCATCTCTTTTGTGAGTAAGGATGTTTCTGACAAGAACTGGAGGGTACTCTATGTTTTGAACACGAAGCTCTGCCCGTCATCAGGAGACTGAAGCAACAGTAGCTGATTTCCTGACCTTCATGAGAGCTGGAAATTTAAACATGTACCCTGTTTAATGTACGCTTTGTAAGTAAAAAGTCCAAAGTTTTGGTAATTCCATAGTCGGTATGTACATCATCGAACCTTGGCCTCCCATTTGCTTCAAAATCCGTCAGATTTTAGAAGGTTTCGCAAGTTTAGGAAAGTACAAACCAAACATCACCTAGCTATCCCTGTCCAGAAAAGGGGTTGAAACAAAAGCAGAAAAAAGATGAGGGACCACCTCAGGGCTCTACAAATGCTTATGAAATGTGACGACAGTTAGGGTTGGGGAAAAATATCTTACCATTTTGAGACTCACTCCACCGGCCACGGCTCCTCCGATCACCAGATACCTGATCCGGAACACCTTCAGCAGGGACCTCACCGAGTTCAGAGTCGAGGCCGCCCTGGCGTTGGCATCGTTGATGGGCACACGGGGCCGGACGCACTGGTACATCTTGGAGAAGCCGGAGTAGCCCGCGGCCTGAGTGGCGATGAGGTGCCTGGAGCAAGGGAGAAGTTGGAAGGTGGGCGTGGAGCCGCTGCTGGAGGGCGGTACATCGACAAAACGGGAGTTTGATGCCCTCTTACGGACGGTTTGCCTCAGTTGGTGGCCGCAGTGTTGGCTACAAAGATGAACGGCAACAGAAAATAAATAATTGATTGGTATGACTGATCGTTTTATAAGTAATAAAAATTTATAAGCAAAATATGATTTTCCTGGCTCTACTAGTACCACAGGCATGAATGGACACCTCCACTTTCAATTCCATCCATCCATCCCTCCATTAATAAACTAGCACAAGTAAACAGGAGGACCTTACAGTACCTTTCGCTTTTTAACAAGCTCATGACAAGCCTACATGTAGCTTCGTTCATTGTTCTTGATGTGAAACTTTTAATATATTATATCACAATAAAAGCTTTGGACATTAGGGCACAAGTCATTAAGTAATATTGGTGAATGTGTGCATTGACTAAGACAAGCATTGCTATTGATGTTAACATGTGCATGTCTAACTTTAACTCATATGGCTTAGTCATGTCAGTACCTGTCTCCCATCAGCTAACCATGTCTAATCTAATGTCTTTTTTCATAATGTTCATCATGCCATGGTTGTAATTAATTAATAATAGGCCATTATTAGAAAGAAAAAAACTTGATTGAATGACAGAAGTGAGATCGACAGATTTTGTACAATGATTACTTGTGCAGATACGTCAATTGCGCCTAGCAAAAAGTACTGAATGGGCATGATACTGTTTTAATGAGAGCAAAGTTGGGGATTTCCCAAGCCATCAAACATTTGTGTCTATAAAAAGTTAAACATGTTAAAACCGCACCCAAACTTCCCGGACAAAACTCTTATCATCTTGCTCAGATACTCAGTCAGATGGTGTGAATAGCCTTCTGCCTTTACTCTTCCTTTTATCTAGACTGCTGTGTCCAGGAAAATGACCAAAACATTTCAGGAACTTCCGAAAAATGACGCAAATGGTAGAGCCAAATGACGAAATTTTCGCAGGAAAATAAAGCTTCCACCGGACGGTCGTGTACCCAACTTATTCCCTTAATTTTCCGTGCACTTTAGCTGTGAGCACTAACCGACTAAAGCCGAGTCACCGGTCAATGTTATCTACGGCTATGCCTTGACGCTCTAAAATGCAGGCAAAACATGAGCCGTAAGAAACTGACCGATAGCGCAACGGCTTGGCTTCCAACTGACATGACTGAGCCTACAATAACAACAAAACAAAACAATTCCTACAAGTAATTAAAACCAGGCTAACGTGTGTAGTAAATTTTAAAAGTTCAATCAAAATTTAACATATTATTTTTGTTTGCTATATCATTGAAATTAATTTTTTTACCGTGTATACCCTAAGTTTTCTTTATTACCTCGTTCGTCGTGCAAAACATTTAAAGATGGCTGCGCCCTTGATGAACGTTCGCCGATACTGATTCGAGGTGTACATGGTTTCTGGACCTTCTGACAGGGACAAAAACTCTGTCTTACCTCAACTTGTGATCCTGTATTGCCATGTTTTTTCAACCCGCAAGCCAACCTGAGATCATCCGCAGTAACCAAAAAGACCAGTTCTATGTGGATTTCCTGCGGAATTCTCTTGCCGACATTTGCCAGTCATTTGTAGGTAGGACTGTTTACTATACGTTATTCATGTTAACAAACAGGTGGAAACAATGGAAGTTTTACTCACCTTCACCTAGCTCAGAAACAAATAAATTGACAGACTACCTACACTATTTTGACTGTGTAATCAGCCAATACATTCGTAGGTTAGGTCATTAAATTAAAGCTGTGTTGTTGGGTTTAAGATTTTAAAGATTTTTTCTTATCAAAATTATTAACAGCCCTTTTGTTAGAGACAGGTTGCTGAAATTTTTAAAAGGGCAGAAATTGGAGCTACAAAAGATCTGAGGGACCCAGCAAGAGGCCTTAGCTTGTTGAGTTCCTCAGCTGAGTTTCACTGTTGGCCATGTCACCAGGCATGGCATAACGGGGTCTTATCTGCTTATCACCTTTAACACATGATAGTAACATCAACACTCCTCAACAACTTGATCATGTGTTGATGGTACTGTGCATGTTGACAGTGTGTTGACAGTGTGTTGGCAGTGTGTTGACAGTAAAGACTGTGGCATACTGGCCTCTGTGCACTTTATAACATACATGTACACAATGCCGGCATAATCTTTTCCTTGCCAGGACCAAGAGTATGGGCCCGATGGAGAAAGGAACTGGATGTCTTGGGAGAAATTTTGTACTTTGGCCTCACCACTGTAGCAGGTATAAGTTATACTCACTCTCGTGCACTTTATAAATAGGAGAGTAAACAATCTCGTGAAGCATAGGCGGTAGACTGGTGTCCCTGCCATAATGAGGCATAAGGGAGGGGTCTTCCCCAATCAAACCTAGCACGGAATTGTGGTATCGGTGTTCCTGAGCTAGATGCATTGCAGTGACAGTTTCTTAGAAGAGGAAGATAATGCAACACAGAATAAAGGGAACCTGTCTATTTTCAAAGGTTTCCTCATTGTAGGCCCAAAATCAGCTAAATTAGCATTTTGAACCTGCAGCCCCCAGAATACAGAACCAGCGCTCTATTAATGAAGGTGTCCAGTGTCTTTTGGGTGTTTTTGGGGGGGGGGACTAGAATAAAAGAAAGCTCCAGAAGGAGAAGTTTTGTAGGATTTCTCTGAATTCAAATTAAGAAAGTGTACATTTTTTGCATGCTCTTTCTTACAGGTTATCAGACACTCGGTGAGGAATACGTTAATATCCTCCAAGTGGATCATACACGCAGGGCAGTTCCATCGCCAAAGGTTTCACTTGTTATGTTTGAAAAATAAGAATTTCTAATTGTAATAAACGGCACAACGGTCATGTTTAACTGTTGGCGTATTAAAAAGTATTGGCTTTTGCCTTGTTGATCGCATTTCTACATTTTGATATCTAGAGACGTCTAGCACTTGTACTTCTCTATGCCTGCTCACCTTATCTGCTGGACAGGCTGCTTGCCTACATCCCCAGACTTTTAGAATCAGACCAGGCCAGAGCAGGGCTGAGCCCGGAGGTCCGGCAGCGAATCTCCCAGTGCATCCCCGTGCTGAGGCAAGCCGTCATGATCATACAGCGGGCCCACATTGCCGTGTTCTACCTCAGGGGAGTGTTTTACCATGTGGCCAAACGCTTGACTGGTATTCAGTATGTGAGTATGACAATAGGAGCACAGACATGAGGTGGACTGTGCTGCATTTCTAAGGATTTGTTCTCTGCCTTTTGCAAGATTTGTCGAAGGACCTGTCACTCGAATGTTTCTTTGGTGACTGCTGACTAAGGATGGATCCAGAACAAATTTTTTTGGGTGGGGGGAGGGGAGAGATTTTTTAGGGGGAGGACTAAAAAAGTTGAGGATTTTTTGGTGTTTCCTTTACGGCCTTTCTGAGGATTGAGGCCCGAGTTTGGGCCTCTTTATATGCTTTGAGGATTTCAGGAAGAGAAACGAAATAAGGAAACAAATTCCTGTTGGTATTGTTATGTAAAAAAAAAGTGTTCTTTTTGGGGGAGGGGGTTAGAGGGGCATTGATTGGTTGGGAGAGGGGAACTGGTCAGTCGGTCCCACCCCCAGATCCACTGATGCTGCCGACTTAGGTTGTACAGGTGAGATGGTTATTCAATTTGGTAATCTGAATACCATCTCTCTTCCCTTAAAATTAGGCAGAATTGGATTACAAGTTTGTTACTTTTCTCTGCATGTGAACTGCGGATGAAGTTAATGGTACGTAGCAGCCTGGGCTCGGGCAGCATGCGACCCAGCTTCCATCTACTGGGCTGGCTATCCGTCACCCAGCTGGTCGTCAGCCTGCTGCATTCCCTCTACAAGATGCAGCGGGGAGGAGCGGATTCAGGAGAAGCTCCCGCATCAGAGGCAGGAGAGCAGAGGTAACGAACAAGTTGAGTGGACAAAGCATATAGTTAAGGAAGGGAAGGCGAAAGTTTCTATAAATCCACAGAGTCAACCCAGAAAAGAATTACAAAAGAAGAATAAGATGAACCGGATGAGAAGAGAAAAAAAGAAAATTGGGCACGGAAAGCCATGCTTTTAAATCCAATGGTATGTTGTGCATAATAAACTGACAGGAGTAGACACAAAATGTGCACTTTAACACCACAAACATGTCTGTTGTTTCCAAGCTGTAACTTTGAGAGATGTAAAGAGCAGGCATGCAACTTTTCCTCGGATCGGCTGATTTCCTCGTTTTTCACTTCACACTGGTCCCATTAGGAATTGAAAAACACTGTACAAAATGTTGGAAATATTGGAGTTTCCTCGTTTTTGTTTTGTCTAAGTTGCATGCCTGAGAGAGAGACACGTATAGTGTTCATTATGGTGAGTAACTCTTAGGCACATGCCCTGCACAGCATTGTGTGGCTGGCAATGAAGCAGGCAATATACCTCCAGTGAATAGTGCCCTATTTCACAGTTGAGTAACAGAAAACTATTCTCATACTTTTTTCTTAAGAGTCACTGAAGAAGGTGTTGTGACAGAGCCACACCTACGCTGTGCACTGTGCCTTGAGAGGCGGCGAAACTCCACAGCCACACCCTGTGGCCATCTCTTCTGCTGGGAGTGCATCACCGAGTGGTGCTCCACAAAGGTCAGTTAAATACCGACCACAGCAGTGGTCAGATCTGCCTGTCAGGAACCCAATGTCAAAGAGCCTCCTCAGTGGAATACTGCTCGGCCAAGCAACAAAACTCTTGGAACCAATCATCAGTGATATCAATTGTGTGACATTGGGACTGGTTTTCTGTTTTGGCTATTTTTTGTATTCAGCAACTTCCTGTACGTAGCACTACCATGAAATTAACCCTGGGAATTGTTAAGTTGCCAAGCATGAACAAAAGGTTAGCAGGTCATTACATATAACTTCCTAGAACTGAACTTGAAGAAAATGCTGTTGGCAAGGTTTCCACTTCAACTATATACGACTAAAACAGCTCAGTTGGCATGATATTCCTGAGGATGTTGGTTTAAATTCACTTTAATTTTCTGTGTTCCGTAGAAACATAAACCAAACTTTTTTCCCCCGCAGGCCGAGTGCCCACTGTGTCGAGAGAAGTTCCAACTTTCGAGACTCGTCTACCTGCAGAACTTTGACGGAAGGTAACAGTTACTAGAGCACGCCGTAAAGAAAAGTATGGAAACAGATAATCCCAGACAGACATACCGTTTTTCCATGAAAAGAGATCTATGGGAAAAACGAGTTAGCTGCATGTGGGTGGCAGGCGATTCAGACTTTTTGTCCCATCACCAATTACTTTCACACTTACCACAGCAAATACAGTAAAATTATTTCTTAAATGCAAAACCATACTTGTATTTCAGACTCTCAGATTTTCAAACAAGTAATCCACTGCCGTGCATATATCATGGGAGATGGAAGTTTCTTGGTAATACATTTGTATACATCAGAAGGGGTAACACCCCTAAATATGTTTGAATGAAGTAATACTATTTCTAACCTGTCTTACAGACAATATAAACTTTTTCTCGGATCAGCCGATTCCTTATTTTTCACTTCACACTTATGCCATTGACAATTGAAAAACCCCGTACACAGTCTTGTAAAGATTAGATTTTCATTGGCTTTTGTCAAAGTCCACGTTGCATGCCTGTATAACTCAACTGGTTCGGTGTAAAGTGTGAAGAGGTGGAGTGATTATTACAACTTAAAAGCATACCTGGAATCCCTGGCAGGGAGTGGTTAAAATGAAGACATACGTCTGATGTCTAGACTTTCCCCTTTTCATGTTCCCTGTTAAAATTTTGTAATATGTTTATAATAATTGTTTAAATAAAAAAATAAGTTGAAGTTGCATAAAGTGGCTTGAAATGAGTCTATTAAAATTAGACTCCAGTTTGGCCTGTTGCCTTAATTACTATAGCATGTTGAAATTGTGTCTTTTATAAAAATTGTCCTCTTACCCTGGGTAATGTATTTGCCAAAAAAGGGCTTTGACAACTTTTTGAGACCATCAGAAGCCTATTTGTAGGTAACGATGGATGAGGGACACTTGACTGGCATTATGACTCACCTTGAGTCTGGCCGACTTGGGAGGACTTGTTCTGATGACAGGACAACACCAGTGTCCTCACCTGTGCTGTACCAAACGGCATATCTTCGCACAAAGACAAAAGAAAGACATCCTCTGTATAGTAACAGTGGTTGGGCTCTGCCGCATCCCATCCGCCAAGCCCACTAACCCACAGGTGTTGGATTTCAATAGCAGTGTTGTATTTGAGTCCACCACAAGTCCCTGTAAGCCCATCACAAGTCAGTCAGTCTTAAGCGAATTCTCAAGCTAATCCAATGAGCTGTGAGAAAAGCATTGTCATGGACTCGAATACAACACTCTTCAATAGACTTGGAGTAGCCGAGGTCAAGACCAATGCAAAGACTGATTCACTTTATCAGTGGTTGGCGTTCATCATCCAACTCTCGTTCCGTCTTTGTCACGTTGTAAACGACGAATGTGGCTGAGCAGAGGGCTGCGGGAAAGGAGGCATCACTCGCGAAGACGACAATGGCCAGCTTGGTGTCTGCAGCCATGGTGATGAGGCCCATGACGGCTGACACCACAACCTGAGCCAGGACGGTGACGCTGGTGAGACAGGCCACATCGGTGCCCAGACCACGCTGGGAGCGCCGGACATGTCTGTCAGGCCAAGACATGAAACAAAGCCAGCTGAGAATGTGATAATTTGCCTTGCAGAGTCCTTGTATCCTTCTTGCTAATTGCTGAGATTGGAATAATCAACTGCATGTATTTGAGATCAGCCAACTGATTGCATCCACAGTGTTTTGAAGATCGATCCTGGCATAAGCCCCTATCAACGCGGAAAATGCGGTAAGCACCTTGACATCGTGAATTAAAGTATTATGAATGTTTTATCAGTGCAGTACTATAAGAATGAAAAATTTCGTGGGGCCACAGATGGAACGTTCCATTGCACGGGGCAGAAGACTATTACGTTGAACCAAAAATGTAAGAAAGATTCATTGCTAGGACCCTTGAAAACAAAGACCCTGTAAAATTAGACTGGTTAATAAACACATAAAGACAATCAGAAAAAAAGGAGCCGTGGGTCCGACTCTTTTCCATGATCTTTACATTTAATCTGAATACGAAGTTGTTACCGACGGTGAGACTGAAAGTGTACACCTGCAGAGTGGAAGGGACATTGTTTTAAACCTGCCATTTACTTAATTGTGCTGTTGAAATTAAATACTTAAATCGGTGTGGATTTGATTTTGATAAGTAGAGTCATTTTGCCGCACACAGTTTTAAATGATTTATTTTCTAACTCCTCATGGTTTGTTTGTCCATCACCAAATCCACTCTGTCTTGCAGCAGCAAATTCAGTAAAATAACATGCAGAATTTCAGATCTTGAAAAATGTGCCTTTTACTCTAACCCATTTACCATAAACTGAGAGTTATCAAGTCGATCACAAATCTGGTTCCCCTAAACTGGATAAGCAATGGCATAATAGCTTGTGATTTGAGACTGGATGATTTGTGATTGACTCATGGCGGTATCCAAAAGTTGTGGCTGTGGCTAGAAATAATGGATGGATGCACCTATGGAAGCCACTGCCTAGTGGCTGCAGCCACGCCCCATAGACATCTGTATTACTCTAAGCCGCAGCCAGCTGATTGGGAAATGGCCTTTAGCTAACCAACACTGAATTCTCGACTGCCACATTTTAGTGAGACCATGTACTGCAAGCCCCAAAACAGAAATGGCAACAAAATTCCAGGTGGTCTTAAACTTTCGTTAATGACTGTTATTAGTAGTTCAGGCAATTGCAAATGCTTTATGCTGGTTTAGGTTATCAATGGTTGGTGTTCATTGGTTGAGCCTTGTTCCCGTTTCTTCAAGTCATACACGACGAATATGGCTGAGTTTAGTGCTGCGAGGAAGGCAAGACTGCTGGCAAAGGCAACAATTGCCAGCTTAGAGCCCACGGCCGAGATGATGAATCCCAGGATGGCCGACACGACAATCTGAGCCAGGAAGTTGACACTGCTGAGACAGGCTACGTCGGTGCCCAGACCGCGCTGGGATCGCTGGCTGTCCCGCATGGTCTGTCAGACAAGATGTGAAAAAAAAAACCAAATAAGAATGCACTAACTTGCCTATCATCACAGTCTTCTTTGCATCCTAGATGTCAGCCATCTTGTATGGTATGTCAAATAAGAAGTCAAAACCAGACAGAAAATGTGTTCATTTGCCCATCAAAAAGTTCTCTCTGAATCCTCCCTGTTAATCGGTGACTGTTGGAGTAGTGTAGCCAAGTATAATTAGCATCTCTGAAACAGACACCATTGCTTCCACTTCAGGATGATAGTTTATGTACACTGTATTAACCAGGTGCAAGAGGTCCTGCTCTTTACAATGCATCACCTCACTGACGATTTTCAGCATGTCCCAAGATTCCTTAAGTGGTTTCTTACACTACCTGGTAGTTCGCATGGTAGTCGGCCACGATACCGAACGGCAGTGTCGTAACGGTGGCAAACATAATCCCTGAGGTTGCGTTGAGGGCAAGGGTCACGTAGATGCTGTCGCTGGAGATAGCCATGCAGCCGGTACCCACTCCAAATGCTGTCTGGCCCCAGACATAGGCAGTACGAGTTGAGATGTGGGCAGACAGCTTGTCAAGGATAACTAGAGAGAGAGCGACACTCATTACTCAAAAGTTTCAAACAGTTTTCCCAGAGATCAAGTCAAATACAGTCATTTGTGTTCCATTATTTGTTATCAAGTTCCCAGAGACTGAAAAATGTTCAATATAAAGTAAAGTCAAATTCCTCTGGCCAAGCTTGTTGTAATGTAATAAATGGACAGGCTGCCAATCCATGTCAAGTTAATCCTACCATGGACTGGACTTGAACACTGCAAGTTTAATACCTGCAGAGACGATGACGGATGCTGCAAAGATTACCATTCCCCAAGACCCCATCTTGATGCCAGCTTCAAACAGGTTGCGACTCTCTGATCCCACGGGAGCAGTGGGGTCACCTGAGCGAGAATAAATTACCATCCAAAAGTGGACTGTAGACATCAACAAACATTAACCCTAACAGTCCTCAATCCTTCACCTGTTGGAGGACTGAAGACTGTTAGGGTTAATGAAGCTTACAGAAAATTATGCTGTGACTGAAAGTTCAGGTTACCGAGATCACAATGCAAATTGTTAAGCCCTTAAAATCAAGAAGGGGAGCACAATGATCAAAACCCCTCTGGTTGCTTCACTTCCCCCATAAACTCTGTTCAGAGGTTGTGCATTTGCTTGTGGTTGGGGAAAAAATAAATACCATTGATACAGTGGCATAATTGGGGTCCCCATAAAACACAGCACAAGAAATTGACATAACACTCTACACAGTCTGCAGATACATTTAGGTTTATGGCACTTGTGTAAACTTGCCATCATAAACCAAGAGAATGCGGATATCTATTTCAGCTTTCTAAAGGTCTTGTTTCATGATGTGATAGAAACTACTTAATAATATCAAGAGCGATAAAATATCCCATTATGGTCAACTGAGGTTTTGTGACTGTATTCCAAGTCTCATTAAATGGAGCTATTCAGGTTGTTAGGGTTAGGGTGAAAGCACTTGTAGTTTAAAGTGAGTTACCATTCATGTACCTTTATAAACTACTTCTCCAATGTAGTCTGTGTAGAAGAGGAAGATGGCCAGCAAACCTGACCAGCCAAGGAAGTGATTCAGACAGAGCCATCTCAGCTCCCGGGGCATCTTCACCACGGAGACCAAGAGCTTCGCCACGGAGACTTTCTCCTCCTTGGGTTGCTCATCCTTGTTCCCCAGGACCTGGGTTTGAGTGCTGGAGGAGGACTGCGAGGGATTGCTGGATGTAAGGCTGCTAGATCCAGAGCAGCTCACTGCATCCTTAGACACCAGCACACCATCTGGCAAGGGGCTCATTATGGCTGGATTTGAGTTGTCTGTTTGAATCAGTGAGTCGTAGCTCAGCTCCTTCCGGGGGCTTGGCTTTGGTACCCCACTTTCTAATCCCTGGTAGCTGCTCCCGGACTGCGACAGCTTGGATGTGCTACTGACCTCACGGGGAACCAGTGGTTTCTCCCTCACACTGAAGAGCGTCAGTGTGAAGCACACGGTGCAGATGACAAATGTGAAGACAAAGACGACTCGAGATTGATTTCCAAGGATCTGCCCTAGTGCGTTGGATTCCCAATCAATGCTGTTGAAAATGTAGCCAATACCAGAACCGAGACCTAAGGAAAAATTATAATTCCTAAAAGTTGACTTTTTGCCTGTAAGCTCAAACTTGCATGTGTATTTAATTTCGCAATTTGCATCTCCAATCTAAAAAGAAATCTTTGAAACTAACCCTTGGAGGGTTTACTCACCCCCCAGGACAGCTCTGATGTTCAACCCCCTGTCTACATCTTGGAGATTGCAGACATCTATGATGTATGCCTTTGATGGGCTGTCACAGGAATCGGCGCAGAAATCAAGAATGACAACACCAGTGACAGTCAAAATCAATCCGATAGCATGGTCTATATGAAGAAACAAAAGAAATTTTCTTTTAAAATTCAAAACACGTGCTGAACAGCAGTCAATGAAGATTTCTCTTTGGTCCATAAACCAAACAAAGAAACTTGTTTATATCGAAGCTGGGATTCTGCTTGCTTATATCTTTTGCAATAAGTGCTACCTTTAATAAGAAGGGCTGAGGTTAGGAAGATATACAGTGGTCATTAAACTCACTGGTTGTAGTATCCCCGGTAAGTAGCCCAATATCTTCACCATTCAGAAACACGGTGAATCCCACGGCCATACCAATACAGAGGATGAGAATGAACGGCCGGCGCCTCCCCCAGGCACAAGAACAGCGGTCACTGAGCGACCCCACCACTGGGTTGAGGAAAAACCCCAGGGTGGGGCTGACAATCCAGGTCAGACTGTACAGAGACTGGGGCAGGCCCATCTGAAGCAAGAGCGGGGTGACAAGTGCTGTCTCAACGGCATAGCAAAACTCGATCCCCAGGACCACCATGTTGAGTAGTACCAGCTGCCACAGCGGCCGTCTTGGGGGCTGGTCAGAGTCAACCGAATCTACAGCCGGAAGCTGAAGGATCTCGCCTGCATGGAGAATAGCGAGGTCAGGGATAGAGCAACGGCTCTGGATGGAATCGTTACGGATCCTGTGCCCAACTTGAGACGGTACATCAATGTAGGATGACTCAGACGAAATGCTGAGCGTCCTTGAGCGTGAGCAAGTTCTGGTCCTGCAAGGAAGCATATACATCATACTGGCTACAGGACGGGGTAGCTTGAGTAACTCCAGCCCCAAATAATGCTTACTGGCAACACCAGGAAATTATTGTTTCCCAATGTCACAAGCACTGTAGGGCTCAAGGATTCTCAAGCATTCAGAAGAATGACTTCTACTGACCATAAAACAAGATTTCAGACCAGTCTCATAGGGGTATGTGCACATGCGGTGTCAACAGGTTAAGTGGTGCCCATAGGCCTGTATTCTGGAATTCTTGCTGATATGATGATACCACTAATTCTTCCCTGCAGTGACCTACAGTATTACCCACCCACAAGCAATAAAATGCCCCAACAAGTCAAATTTAGGTGCTTGCAAAACATTTTCTCACCAGTCCTATCAATGCTTGTAGGGTTTAACACACTCCAAATTCAAACAACCTTGCTCAGATGCTGCAGGATTTTTTTCAGTTCCACGGTCATGCCGGTGCCGTTGGAGTACATAGTACAAGGACCAACTCACGAGCATGCTACAGACCTAAGAGACCACCAAAGTGAAGTCGTTCCTTACCTCATCTCGTCTGTTGAAATTTCAAGCACGCAGCAGCACTGCACGAAAGCCAAGGTCGTCAGCTACGGGGATGGTTTCGCCACAAATGTGCCACAACAGCGCGGTGCAGACTTGTAACTTGCTCAACTGCAAGTTACAAGTCTTGGCTGCCGTGTGCTGCTGTTATGTTTGCCGTGTGGGCTTTGATTTGGGTTTACAGGGGATTGTCGGTGTTGTCCCAAGACTTTGGTCAACAGATATTACGCAACCAGTGAGCTAATTTTAATTGAATGGCGTACCGCTGTATGCATGCATGATCCAATTCAGCTGCCCAGTCAGGTGCATCCTGGGCATGGGACATGGGAACACGCCGCTGCTACGTGGTGCACTCTCACAAGTCTGGGTCAGCCGTGTAACCTGAGACACGACTGGGCAGTTTTAGCCTCCAGGGCATCCAGATCAGGGAATGACTTTAATCGGTTTTCCTGCAGTTGACGGGAGCAAACACCGCTATTCAGCATTATCATGAGTCACAACATACATGCACTTCATTGGTTATTGGTCGTGAGTCATTCACTGCACCGTATTTATTATTTTACCGAGCGATCAGTCACGATGGCGCAGATATGTAGTAGATCAGGGAAGACCCTCTTCCTCAGGAAGTTTTTCTGTCAAAAAGGGTTATGGAAAAAACTTCAGAAATTGCATTATAAAACGGGAATGTTTCTAGATTTTGTACACCCCTGCCAACTTGAAGCCAACATCTTTTAGGCGCATGGTCAATTGACCACTGAGTAAAGTTCGTGTAAAAAAATGACAAGAAGTTCTATGCGGTAACTCCCATTTGAAGATGTTTTATGTTATAATTTTGATCAATTGTAATTGTTCACGTTCTTGACCCCAACTTCCATCGAAAATTATGTCTTCCTCCTCCAGAAGTGACGGCCGTCCATCGGCTAAAGCATCTCGGCCCAGCGGTGACACGATTCTTGGTATCCATCTTGGTCTTGCGTCCGAGATCGTCGTGGATTCTTGGGAGTGAAACCGTCACCCTGTAACCAACTTTGCAAGAAGACTTTTCACAGCTTTCGACAACGAGCAAACGTAAATTATTTTTCGTGCCGCAAGTCCTTCAATGACAAAAAATCGGAACGGCAAAGAAACATCAAATTGAATTCCAATGGTTGAGAATGGCTTTTTTCGTATTCATTTGGCGTCTTGCAATAGGGTTCCATCCATCAGACCAAATCACGACGGCAATAAATTGCTTCACCAAAAGTTGAATCTAAGAAGCTGAAATTCATAAGGCCAAACATTTGAAGTGGCAGAAAGAACTAAACACGTAAAAATGGATGGGGAAAGAATGGAAGAGTGAATTTTTCTAATACAAAAAGAAGCAAATTCTTACAACGCTCTGGGGTGTCAACGGAACAAATGAACAGTCACAACCAAATCTTATTAGTCTTTTTTATTGACGGATTAATAAATATGGCATATTTCAGCATAATTATGAAACAAAAGGTACATTATCAGGTACTGACGAAAAGTATTAGTTTCACTTTGGGTTATCTAATAAGCCTAAAACTATCCAAAAAAATACTAGTTCATTTTTGGCATTCATTTACTTACACAAACATTATTTGCATGAAGTCTGGTCAACAGGCGTTAATACAGGTTTTAGTTTGCTTTTTTTCTTCTACAAACTTTAATTTGCCACCCTCCTTTTGGAAAACAAATGGACAAAGGTAAAGGCAAATGCTAAATATCTGGAGATATTCAACTAAATCTTGAGATACTAAGAGATACTGTTTTTAATACTAAATGCCCATCTTTGGTTGGAAAGGAAAACAATAATATGGGATTTAGAAAAGGTATTAAATATCTGTGATTTGACTGGCAAAGCCGGTACAAGGAAGTGACAATGTTTACCTTGTCAGAAGATTAATAATTGAATGCAAAATGACTTTTCCAATCAGCAGTTTTCAAAGTAGTACAGCTTGAACAAACAGGAGAAAACTAATGACTTGTGCAAAGGGAATCACACAAAAATAATACAAATGTTTATAGGCGAATGATATATTCTTTGAGAAAATATAAGACCGAGCTTTAAGCACACATAATGTTTACTTTTTTAAAACCAAAATGTTGAATAAGTTGCATATGAATATTTGACTGACACTATTTAAATGACAGGGGAAAATCTAACCTAAATATAACTTGTACAGAACAGAACGTAAGTCAATTCAACGATGAAATCACACTACAAATCAAAACTGTACAACTGTCTACTTTTTCTGTTACGATGCTGAGCTATGTTCGCTTTCAGTGTCAATTATAACTGGGCTGTGTTCAGTTAGACAATACTTTGTGTCTGTGTGTATAGCACTTACAGAACTAGCTAGTAAAAAGGGTATCCCAGTACTGGCTTACATATTGTACTCCTGAATGTGCAGCTGGTTGGGTGATGTGTGAGAACTTCATGGACTCATGCAATCATGAAGTCTCTCTGGTAGACACTTGCACAGAGTGAAAAAAACCTTGTCTTGCTAAATGAAGCAAAAGGTACCAGTCTATACCAACAGGAAAAAAACCAAACTAGCACAGCTAATTTTGCCTAACTTGTTTGGTATATAAATTGTTAACCACAGCTGCTGTGTGGATCCAACAAGCTTCTCCCATCACGTCTACTGTATAAATGCCCGAGTACACAGTCAAAGAGCTCTCTACTTTTTTCAGTAAAAAAAATAAAAGAATCCACTCATAAACTGATCTACCAAAACAAAACAATCAACTTCAAAGTATTGCTTAATACACTGTACTTTAAATGACAAACGGCATGTATGTATTGCTCCAATGATGCATCAAAGCTAAAGACAAATAACCAGCATGCAACAAGGTTTATGCATTCCCAATGCGATAAGGGTATAATTACATTAATTCTGCTTTTGTACTGTTCAAGCCATCTTTTTTCATATTTTCTAGGCACCAGTTCTTCATAGAATTCAGTTGCAAAAGTGTGAAAAATCACTTGCACGATCATGTGAGGGGTTGCTTTCTCTCACAACTGCCTAAGACTCTTACAAATTCGAGTCCAGATTACGTATCGCTTAACTTATTTTATTTTTAGAACCTAATGGAGAAATGGAAATTATCTGAATATCTGCAGCTTTCAACAAGGACATTTTCTAGTAGCAAAATTTACTGGTTTAGCATGCTAGCTTGCAACAATACCAGTCAAATAATCCTGAAATAAAAAAAAGAAACCTGAAACCTGAAGAAGCCCAAGTTGTAGCCCAATCAGGCTTTCTAGAATTCTCAATCAATTCCTCAACATATCAAACTTTACAGACCACCGTGATGCATAAAATATATGATTTCTTAAAAATCTGTTAATTCTACATTGCATAGATTAGACAAAGCTAAGTCTAGGTCAATCTCAACTATGCAGTCTTCATTATTCAAAGACCATGGCTATTCTAGAGTAACGACAGCACTTACACAGAAGACACAATCCTTCGCTGAAGTTTCAGAGTTCCAACTTCCTAACTGCTGGTGAACTTAATATAACGCCGTCATTTAATGAGTGGAAAACATGAACACTGAGCTACTCAGTGTGTGAGAAATGATCAGCCCTTGCTAAAGATCAAACACGACAGATATTAAGTATGATTTGCGGTGTTGCGTGGTGTGGCACTGAGGTGGATAATGGGAGTATTCTTGACCTTACAAATTGTGTTCTCTTTTTGTCCCTGAAGCCAAGCAGAGTAAGCTATTGTCAAAGATACTCTTAGGCCATGTCCGAATCACTTGGCTACAACTGGAAATTACACATGACTTCATGGGAACTGGCGGCGGCCAAAGCCATAGACTCATGCGTAATTTCCAGCCGTAGACAAGTGATCCAGACTCGGTCCTTTTCAGGACCACACTTCTTCAAAGACATGCATGGTTGCACTGGAAAAACTATCATCTGCCTCATCAGACATTCACAACCTCTACTGGGCTGTGAGCCCGAGTAAATGCTAGTCACCAAAAGTCTAGGCTACGGCTGCTTAAAACATGTGTGGCTATGGAAGTCTTGACCATGGCTGCTTACTGATCGTGTGGCTATGAAAGCCACTGGCTAACAGTTGAAACAGTGTCCCACAGCATGCTACTGGAGGCTACCGTCAAAGAGTTTTGGGCACAGAATGAGACACCTTGCTCCATGAGGGAGTTGACGAGTGTTAAGAATCGGGCATTTGAAAGTGCTAAGGTGACAATAATGACTGCTTTCACAGCGCCCTCAGGACAAGATGGCCGTTTGTAAAAGCTTACCAGTCCTTGCATTTATCTTGATGCCTTATGACAAAAGTGCCCTCAGAGGGTTAGGAGCACAGCTATTATACAATGCAAAATGGAATTTTCAGGTAAAAAGTGTTTACATTTTTCCCAAAACTCTGAAATGTAGACCAGGTAAAGTGACGGGGTAAACAAACTATGAAAGTTGAACAATCGTTTTAAGAAAACTGGTGTTACTTGATCTCCATGGCAACATGTTTCTGTATCTACGGTGCGGTGAGGGCCTGGACGCGTTTAGTGTTGCAATCTCGGCACAGGATGTGATCGTCCAAGGGGAAACAACCGCGACCATCTGCCTCCGAGGACAACAGGACGTTGCAATCCTGAGGTTGGGGCGGAAGGAAAGAAAAGAGGGGAGGACAGATAACGATCGGTGAAAAGCTGACATTTTTAACATCGCCATGGCTCTGGAGGATGTACATGTTGTACTAGTTAGCCGGAGGTTGTGGGTTCACTCCAACCCCAGCAAGCTTGTGACCTTTTTCCCAACAAGCTCTCAGACATTAATGAGCATACAGTGACTTTCCTCTCAATGTTCACAAAGGAATACATCCGAAATAGAGCTTGGTGTAATTACTAAAGCGTTGACTTGCTGTAAAAAGTGATGCCTGCTGGGTGCATCCCCCTCCCCAAAAAACCTCGAAATTTGGTAGAGCTTTTGTACGGCTATCTGTGTACCTGCATCTTTATTTTAAAACAATGCACATCAAAACGGTCCATGCGCCAAAAGCCTGAATGCACGATCAGTTAATGGGCATTCAGTTTAGCTTGGTATAAACAATGCATACGTATAATACACTGCAGATGCCATAGAACTGAAAGACAGAAAACACGCCATGTTCTTTGTGAATGTTGTTCCTCAACCTTGCACCCAGAGTACATAATTGGGAATTCACTCCATCTTATTTCATTACGTTCTATAAATACACCCATGAATTTGAAATGTCTGAGCAACGAAGACGTCAAAGCTTCTTTGCATAGGAAATGTGGAGATAGCATTTTAGTAATGTAATTTAGCTCTATGGTTACTATTGATGTAATCTCTATTGAAGGAGTCAATAGAAGCTTTGCATGGTAGCCATCTTGAAGGGCAGTTCTTTTGTTCAACAGGGAGACTTCCTTTGTGCATACTCTGTGGAACAAAAGCACTGACCCACAAAATGGCAGCCATGCAAACTCTCTATACCTTCTTATGCAATTGTCTTGCCTCCCCCCTTTTTCCCCTCCGTGTCTTGCCCCACCTCTCCCACATCTTACCTCACACCTGTAGCAATTGACGTGGAAGCTGCGATCCAAGGCCACAATGCGGACGGTCTCCTCCTGACCCGGCTCGGGCATGATGGGCTGCAGGCAGACGCTGCATCGTGGTGCAAACTTCCTGTTTTGGGGGAAAAAGATTAAATTAATCTTAACAGTGCCTTCAATGAATCATTCACGGTGAAATATTTGAAGAGGCTGAGAGCAATCCAGAGAATGTTCAACCCCACTTTCTCAAAACGGATTGACTAAATCGGTCTTTGCATCGTAATAGCACTTACATGTATAACTCAAGATGTACTTAAAAAGCCAACTTAAGTCGCAGCCACTCTCTCCGATTCTTCTATTTTACACTAAAGCAGAAAGTCACCGACTTAAAACTTTCCCTTCATACAAGCAATTGTTCAACTTTAAATATTCTAAATCAGCTTAACCTCTCAAGCCAAAAGTTTACAGAATATATAAAGACCATAGAAATTCCTGTTACTCTACAGGTCCCTAACATACACCAGAATCCTTCAAAATCCACCAGGATTGAAGGAAGCAGCAATTGTCACAATGACATGCATGGGGTTTGACGCCCCTTGAAAGTAACAATATTGTTTCCTTTACTGATGGACTGGGGAAGGTGCTGGAATGTCCCTCCAAACACAGTTCAGTAGTTGGAGTTGAGGGTCTAAAAAGATCCAAAGCTGCCCAGCAATAACAACTGAATGATAGGAGTGGATCAGAGTGCTGAAGAACCTTTTCATAGACCACTATCGTGGGCAGCCATCTTGTTTTTCTACCACTCCAACCAATGCAACCAGACTGAGGCTGGAAGGGAAAATCATCTTCCCTTTTATCAATATGTGAAGTCGTGTTACTATTGCCAATAGGTCTACAGGAAATGAAACAAACATGGCAGCATCACGGCAAAGGTCTATTCCAAGCTGTACTCACTTGTGGAAGTCCTCGATGCAGTGAATTTGGTTGGTTGCGTCCACGGTGAACGGTATGCCGTCCAGGCTCTTGCCACAGACCACGCAGGTGAAGCAGTGGGGATGGTAGGGCTTACCGGTGGCTCTCAAGATCTGGAGTACAGAGAGTGCCAGGAGAAATTTGGTTGAGTGGGACCTAGGTAAATGCCTCCACACAACGGAACACTGGGAATGCTTAACTCTATCAAGCTTGTTCACTCCAATGCATTGCAGCTGTGGTGATCAATGGACGAAATAGCCAGTGGCTATCACCATAAAGCCCATGAACAACTGTTACATGTTACTAGAAATATAATTCCAAAACTTACACCTACCCTCTCAGTAATTGGTTTGGAACAGGTTGAACACTTCTCCAGTGAGTCCTGCATAAGGAAAAGCAGAGAAAAAAAATTAAACTGATTCTGTACACTCGCTGCTGTAGAACATGGAGCAAAACGTTAAAACTGCGACACAAATTAGGCTATTGGTTAATATACGATGTTGCCAAACTTCTGAGCCACCGGCTGGCGCTTCCACAGCTTTGTATGCGATTTCAAGCCATAGCCAACTAATTTGGAGCCAGCCGCATGCTCACCATGTAGCAGGTCTCGCAGAAAGCCTTGCCCTCCAGGGCGTAGAAGGGGAACCCCCGCAGCTTGGTGTGGCAGGTGTCGCAAGTGAAGCAGTCAATGTGGTAGACCTGGTCCATGGCCGTGCAGCCGTTGTTGTCCCCTACCACCTTCTGGCCGCACTTGGCGCAGATGCCTGGAAAAATTTGCATCAACAGGTCAAAGGTCAAAAGTCAGAAGAATGAGACTATGGCCAGAGGGCTAGTTTGAGCGATGATGTCAACTGCTGGTTGATTTTTCCCTGGTATCCTGGGCATAAAAATACACTGGGCACCTGGCGAAATCCACTGATGGCTGACAAATGGTCGTTGCGCAAACTTCCACAGAGAGCAATTTTCACAGAGCCTTTAAGCGCAGAAAATATACAGTAAACAGGTTACCGGCAAGAGAGCCATGCAAAGTATACATTACAGGAGACTGGTCCTCTTTTCTTGCTTGGCACAGAAATGTGCACAGCAATGCTTTCTGCTGAGAATCTCCACAAAATTGGGCTCTGTTCTAAAAGCTGAAAGGTTGATGTACTGCTGTAGCCACGTGCAGCACAAAAACATCACACAGGAAAAGTAAAATTTCACAGTTATACTTGTACACTTAGCCTCACACCTAGCCTTCAAGGTAAAATTACAGTTACATACAATTTTGTTGCACTGAAGAGAGACGGAATTCAAGATTTCAAGGAACCAGAATGTAACTCTAGGATGCAATTTCACATTCAAGGTGTGTCCACAAACTACGAGTACAAATTTCAAATGTCGAAAATTTCACTACTAACGATTAGGACTAGATGACAGCTTACCGAAGAATTCGCCCTCGTCAGGCGCCACTTCCATATTCTGCATCAGCAGGTTGGTCAGTGCATCTATCTCTGCCTCCGTTCCCTTCTGAGCCGGCGCCGTGATGGGTTGGTCGGTGGGCTTGGGCACGGCCGACTGCCCGGCATAGCTCTTGGGCGGTTCGGGCGGGACGTTCTGCTGCTGCGGCGGCACGCGCTGGTACGCCGGCTTGTTGTAGCTAGGTTGGGGCTGGGGAGGGGGGCGTGGCTCATTGTATGTCTGCATCGTCACGGGGGCCGCAGGGGGTGGGGGCGGGGGCAAGGGTGTGTCCTGCTGGGTCCCGCCCCCTCCCATGAGCTCTGGGGGAGGCGGTGGGAGGAAGTCGTCGCCCGGGGAAGAGTAGGCGGGCTTGGAAGCAGGCGGGGGGGGGGGGAGGAAATCCTCCTGAGTAGGCAGAGCTATGAAGGAGAAAGGATTTCTTTAATATTAGCGACGACAACAACGTTGATAACAGTACAACAATATCAATATACAAGTGCATGTTTCAAAACTGCCTGCATGCTTCAATTTACTACAACACTACGAGTAACTCAGATCACACGTCTGCAGTACGCCTGTGTATTTGCGTACAGAACTTTGAGATAGTGGCTAAATATGACTGCTATTCATGCAGGAGTGAATTCAACATTGCTTTCATGTCAATGATGGTCGTGGCAACTCCAGATGGACGCGAGACACAAATGGCACATTTGTTTATAACTTAACCCTCCTTTTGCTGTAAGTCACAGACAGTCAAAAATGCCTTCCACTCACATTGTAGTTTGCCCCAGTGCACAGACACATTGGAGTCTTTTGACTGATAGAACAACTTTGTTGAGAACGCATCTTTGCATGGGAGGGTTTTAAGAGCAATCAATGCAGACAGTTGACAGAGTGCTGCTCTTGGTGACAGAGGGAATGGAATTGCTAGTATGGGACAGCTGCTGCATATAGAGGGATCCCAATACGGCGCTTTTAGCGTCGATCTGCGCACTTCCACGTTTGAAAACGAGGCTGTATGTGTCAGCTTCAATTCTTAATACGATCAGACGATTGAAAGTAAGGAGTCAAGACACAAAATACATAAAGGTATGTTAAATTCAGACTTTTCAGGCAGAAAAGTTTTGTGGAAGAGTCTTTCAGGATGACTCGACACGTAAAATCCAAAGAAAAATAACCACAATTGACCGCGAACTAACATACCTGCGATAGTCGTGTATCTTGTGCAGTGGGCGTGGTTTAAACTGAAGTGGCGTCACGCTTACGAACCGGATACTGCATGTACTGTGTAGACTCTGTGGGCGCACGCGACGAAGTTCAACACAGAGAGCCTCGGTTTCGATGCAGACATGCGCAGACGGCGCTAATGTGAAATCCCTCTATATGTAACTGGCTCACTCAAGGTCTTCACCTCTTGTGCATGCTCAGAAATTTTGTTTTTTAAATAGGACTGTTGAACATACATGTACGGTGCATGTACACAGTACTGGTACGTGCATGGTACAAATGTATGTGGATTTACAATGCAGGGTTCCAGTTGTGAGTCAACATTGTTCCTTGATGGCAAATGCATTGGCCAACAATCCTCAGAAACCGACGACAAAAAAAAAGACATTTACCGAGCAGCAAAAATATGCAGCTGAAATGTGGGGTGTTTACATTTAGAATTTGCCATCTGGAACCCTACGATGTTAAAAGGAAATGTTGACTGCTGCGGGGCAGGATAGTTTGGACAGCATCCTTATTTACCAGGCAAACGTCAGGCAAGTTAGGTGTGAAATGGGGTATCATGTCAAAACAACAATGTTAAAATAAGAGTTATTGACTGCTGTGGTATTGGATAGTGTACATGACATCCTTATTTACCAGGCAAAAACTCAGGCATGTCAGGAGGGAAATATCATGTCAAAACAACAATGTTAATACCAGTAGTTGTTGACTGCTGTGGTATGAGACAGTGTAGATGACATCCTTATTTACCAGGCAAAACTCAGGCATGTCAGCAGTGAAACATGTCAAATAATGCAACAGTGATAACTATAAAATGTACAACCGTTATGTCTACAAGTGTTTCCTTACAATGACTGCAACGTAAAGGATAAAAAATTAACAGAACGAGTAACAGGCGATCATGGCATTTCAGCAGTAAACTTAAAGTAATAAACACAGAGTGCAATGGCAGTGCGTTTCACTGAGATGATTTAAAAAGTGGCCCATTCCAAGAAATACTTTGTAAACTGATCAGCTGGGGCCAATTTCATGGAGCTGCTTAAGCACAAAATTTGCTTAAGCGTGAAATACCTTGCTTGACAAATCACGTTACCAGCCGAGACTCCATGTGATGTATATTGTTTGGGAATGGTATTCACCTGTCTTTTGGTTAGCATGACAATCACATACATTTTGAGCTGGTAACCTTTGTTTTTCAAGCAAGGTTTTTTGCGCTTAAGCAAATTCTCTGCTTAAGCAGCTCTATGAAATTGGCTCTAGTGAGAATGGAAGCTGGCCGCTGTGTTAAAAAAAAGCTGTAAGAAATGGAAATCCTAAAAGCTTCACTGAGGAAAAAAAAGGGTCATGCAACTACAGCAAGCTACATGTAAATGATCTGAGTGGAAGTACACAAAAAATCAATGTGGGTCATTCTACAAATTCGGGGACCAAAACACATTTTTGCGTCCCTGTTACTGTCACTGAAATTGATTTTAATTTACTGTTTCTATTTGTTTGGCTGGTAATTTGCATTAATTCAGCTCTCTTACAAATTAGACAATGTGTTCTGAACTTACCAAATCACAGGTCAGGTGTGACAGGGACCCGAAAAAAAATTGCACCCTTTATTTATAGAATGACCTATGTACATGTACATGTAGCGGTCGTAAAAATTTCTAAAGGTGGAATATTCTTGTCTAGGTTTACGTGTACCGGGTATTTTGGTTAGTAGAACAAGCTGTATACATGTATGAATATTTGGTGCATTATCTCAAACGCAATGGAATGAAATGAAACTTCAACATTTCTGACGTAAAGGGTAGGTACCCATCCAGTTACGGGAAGTTTTTTATATAAGCCAAATTACGACTGAGTTGTGGGATATTTCCCCCTGTCCCACAATGTTTTTTGTCCCCACAAAATTAGTGTAATGACAACTGATTGTCCCCACAACTATAAAAAAAGTACAGGTACATGTACATAAGTACCGTAGGACTGCGCGTGAAAATTTGATGTGATTTTAAGATGAAAGCACGTAAAAAAGGAGTCCCACTCTCCCCCCCCGAAAAAAATTCATTATGTCAGCCAGCAAGATACATTAATAATCCCATTTGTCACAGGTGAGGGAGTGCACAGAGCAGACAATGATTGAGCTCTACAGTCCCAAACCCATCAAAATCCTACAAAAAATCAAGGTGTTGGATTTTGGAAGACTTGGGTAGGTTAGAGTGCAATGAAATGCTTTGGAAGCTTAAGAGAAGCAAGTAATCAGCTACCTGCCGTACTAAACTGCTGATGACGTGGAGATGTTTTGGGTGGCGGAGCCGGCGGGACTGTTGCCGAGGAAGGAAAAAAAAAATCGTCAGCAAAAGAAAAAAAGAGATGCAAAGAGGAGAGAAAAATAAACAAAGAAAACTTGGAATTTTAATAGGCTCATATTAGTCAGTTGTCATTATATAAACGGCAATCAGCTGCAATAACAAGGAACTGACAGACAACAAAAGCATCAAAAATACTACAATTAAGATTCAATCAAATGGCAGTTAATAATTCTAATCAGTTCAGGTTAGGAAGTCAAACACACCTGCATAATAGCAAAAACAATTCACACAGCAAGCTATATTTCATTTTTCTACAGAGTACCGAAGTGGCTACGTCACGCGCACAATTAGGGTGTAAAAGGCATTAGCGCGAGAACCAGCGCGTGAACCAACACGCGCGCGTACTCCATTCGTTTGCATTGCATTTTCTGGTTCACAGTGACGTCACACTTCGGTACTCTACGGTGCATTTTCTGCGGCGTTGGTAAAAAAAAAGCATGTTACAAACTACAACTACAGATCTCAAAAGTGGATTAAACAAGCACAGCTTGCATTGTAATTAATGAGCAAAGAAAATGTTTGGCACGGGGAAAAGGAAACTACACGTAGTTTTCTCCCTTGAATCGTCCGGTTGGTTTGAGAAGACATTACTCAAGCTTACCCTTAATCGTGGCCCGATTTGGTTTGGGCATCGTCGCCGGGGGCGGGGCTACAACGAGCAAAGCCATCCCAGAATGCACGGGCACACACACGCACACGGGGGACCAGGCAAAAGTGTAAAAGACACACGGCAGAACCATACAATGGTTTGCAATCAAGCAATCGCAAAAGGGCACCGGGCAAAATGTAGAAAAAGAGAGAAAAGAGGATCCAAAGTTTTATACAGTTGAGAAAATGTGGAACAGGAAACTTGCAGGGGTTAGTTCACCGGTACATGGCAGAATGAGCAGCCACCAAGCAATGAGAAAACACTTGATACCATCAAAAGCCCAGTCACGAGTCAATTCATACATGTACATGTACGTCCTAGATCACAATGACTAGTGCGGGGTACATGTGAAAGGCTGATACACTGACCAAGGCGTGACTTACATGTACAATGTAGCCACTGTTCCTCTCATTAGGTTTTGATTCCACATGAGACTGATGATTGACTTGTGATGGGCTCCATTACAACCCTAATTAAAAACTGCATGTACATGTACCAGCATGCTCGCATTACAACAGAAAAGGAAAATTGAACCTTCCCGTTATTAAAATCTGGAGCTGCACTGGATGGATCAGAAGTTATACACATTCCGAAGATTCTACATGTCTAATGAAGCAGCTTCTTCACCTTCAATCTCTTTTATAAGGAGTTTTTTTTTCACCTTCCAAAACTCACCGTAATTCCACAGGAGCATCCAAAATACACACATGAACCATGTACCAGTGCGGTACATGTCAAGAACCCCAACAACCCCATCCCCAAGATTTGGACTTGGATGAAAAGAAAGTGAAACGGGTTTAGGTCTGCCAGTAGAAAGTGGCACCTTTCCACTGATCAATACATCTCCATACATTTATTTAACATGTTTAATGTGCACGGGCATACACCAACAAAGGGATGATTTCAATATGGTCACATACATGAAGTCGCTTTTCTCAGATGGTGCATATACATGTATTATGTAATAACTGACACTTGACTGACATCATGAAGTGTAGGTTAAGTGATCACAAAACCACGAAAGCAATGGATTGAAGATGGGGTATATATGTGCAGAGGGACAAATGTGAATAGATAATATGTAACAAACCGACAAATGAAAAAAAAGAACAAATTTACCCACTGGGTATAATTGACAAATCAACCGACCAACACGTTACTGTATGTTGGTCAGAAACTAAGCGCGTGTCATGTTTTGCTTGATGAAATTATAAAATGTGGCTCACACATGTACACCTTATATGCATGTAAATACATACATTGCACATGTACGTACAATTATCTTCAAAACTGCACAAATTGTGTACATTGTAAATTCTAGATGATCAGAACACATTAAAGAAATATAATTTCTGTTTATTAAAAGCTCGTCAGCTTTCCAGCAGTGTCATCTGGTGATTGCTTCTTCCAACGCATGCCTCCCAAATGCCAACCGCAGTTCACGTTACCGGGGCAAGAATTCCTCCGCACGGCGGGCAGGCCCCTCGTTCAGACTTGTAAGGCTGTCCCTAGCAGCGTGATACCAGACTGTATTTGGATGTGTCCCGCTGGGCAGGCCAGCGGGGACAGATGAGGGTGAGATTTGAGAAGTCTGAGCATATGGTTTGACATGAACGTTTATAAAAAAAAAGACTTTAGACCTAATTTTCTACGACCTTCTTTTTTTGTTAACCTGTATGGGAATTTTTTATCTGGATCAACAGGAGTCAATGACCTACAGGTGCTGGTAAAAATAGAGCAAAAAACACCACAGTTAAGGGTTATTGTAAATACCGGTACACGTATCCAGGTACATATATCAGGTTTGCCCGAGTCAGCTTAAACATTTCAAATGCTCCTTAATCAAGCTAGTGATGTACATGTACACATGTATGTTCACTGCATGGGTAGCTTCCAGACTTAATTCAGTTGTGTGCGACCTTCAGCCTATGGTACATGTACACAAGTATGTTCACTGCACGGGTAGCTTTCTCTACATGTACATTACATTCTAAGCAGGTCACTCTTCACGCTCAATATTACTGTACTGTGAAATTCAGAACGCAAATTCCTACAGAGTGTCTGTGAAGTAGGAAGGAGGCACTAAGATTTAGGTACCGGTACTTTAATTTGCAGAGACAGTCCATAATTTCATTAGCTTTCGAGCTGTTACAGTTTCTTCTTCCAAATGTCAAGGGCAATGTCATGCTGGGCATTTCTATGTGCACTGTGTCCATGTACAAGTACTACAAATGTGTAGCTGCAACTGGTAAACATTACAGTATACCAGTATTTACAATGATGTACCTACATGTACATGTAAGCATTCATGTACAGTGCACATTGAACTGCATGTACCGAACTGCTGATGGTGATCTCTGCATTTTCCTAACATTCTTGTTAATTTAAAACTACCGGTACACCTGTAAGTTGTACTAATGAGCACATGATATGCATTTTACATCAGCTTGCTAACGCAGTGAGCCATGTCAGACTATTGGGTATGTGTACATGTACATGTCGATGGCACTTTTGCTGAATTTCGGAAGTATTGCCAGGACCACAATTGCTGTAACCAGGAAATCACTCCGGGAAGAAACAAGTATCATTTGAATCGGACGATTTCCAAACTGATTCTTCCTGAGGTGAATTCCAATCTCAAAGTGGTTTCAGAACGACAGTTTATCTGGTTACCAAACCAGTTCTGGTGGTAAAACCAGATCTTGCTGAAGCCTGAAGCTTTATCTCCGTTCCTCACATCAGTATGATATTTTGTACATTGTACATGTACCGGCAGCCCTCTGAAAAATGCAGACTTGCTGCAAAAATTCTTAAAGTAACACAAGATGCACAGTGAATGCACTGACCGCTGCAAGGCATGAACAGTTTGTGACTGAGCACTTCTGCAATAAACAGGAAAAAAATTCTGCCCTGATTTTTTGCTTTCCTGGTGGAAATTCCATGCCCCCCAGACATAGTGTCATACAGTACACGTACATGTAGGTTCCTGTGGAGTTCAGCCCTCACACGCACCGTGTTTGAAATGACTGCAACACTTGAATTAACCACGTCAAAGCCTTTCAAGGTTACCAGTACATGGACGAGCAGTTGATAACAGTTGACCGTGTTTGAAATGACTGCAACACTTGAATTAACCACGTCAAAGCCTTTCAAGGTTACCAGTACATGGACGAGCAGTTGATAGTTTGGACAAGGAACCTTTGAATATTTCAAAATTTGCAAGGTGTAAAAATGTGAACGTCTAATTAAAGCATGAAAAAAGGACACTTACTAGACACATGTACATGACAATTTACATGCATACGTACATGCACATGTACCTACAGTGACATACCGTCCATAGACTTTGTACACACGATATGACACTTCTTGGCGTGGCAACTATCCACGATATGCCACTTTGTGGTGAGCCCGACGACTAGATCCTATACCTTTACCAAATACCAGAATTTCATCCTTCAAATTCACATCTTACAACGTGAATGGTCTTGCTGGGAAAAACGGGGGGAAAATGTCCCCTGGAGTAGCATTTGGGTTAAAGGGAAGCTGATGGTGTGACTGCAATGATGATGTCAGGGTGTGATGGACATGTACATGTATTCATTTCAAGATGAATGAAATGGGAAGAACAAACAAGAAGTCAACCATGCAATGAGTGGAACACATAACATGAGCGTATCCAGACACATGCTTTAATATGGCACACACCGAACCGAGGACTATGGGAGTCTTGGTGTTCTGCTTGTGTTTCTATTTTTGCCTTTTTTCCAACTAATCTAATTTGATTTGTGCAATGTCCAACCGAGGACTAACAGGTAATAACTGAGGACCAATGCGTCCTCTAACTTGATTCCTTTGTTTCCTATCCTTGGTGTGCACCACAAGTCAAGTTTGATCAATGAGTGTTAGTCAATCATTGGTGGACATTTACTGGTAAGCGGGATGTACTGTATGTTGGGCATCAGGTTACCAATGAAAACTCAACTGACACTGTCTGACAAAATGCCATTGATCGAACTTGACAACAACTGAGCACATTATACTGGTTAGTTCAAATCAGGTGCTGCATTGCCAATTTGCACAACTCTAAACAAGACCCCTCCCAACATCGTCCTCACCTTTGCTGTGGGGGCCAGGCGGGGGAAGGGCACTCCCGTTCCCGGCCGGCTTGGGCCGGACGGGCTTGGGGGCGGTGACGGGGGCATACTTCTTGGGCTGGGTGGAGTAGATGCGGGCGGAGGACACGGTCTGGGTGGAGTAGCCCTTGGGGTTGGTGGTCAGCTCATCCCGGGCCTTGTCCAGGTTGTCCAGCTCCTGCTGGAGGCGGTCCATGGTCGTCATGATGTCCTCAATGGGGTCTGGAGACAAATTGAGAAATCGTAACCAGGACAGGACATGAAATGTTAAAAAACTCCTAAAAGTAACAACTACACAATTTTAAAATCCAGCAATATACATCAACATCTTAAGGTTTATTACATACAGTGTATGTACATGTAACCTCTCCACAGTGCAATGCATTTACAGGCTATAAAAGTTTCTCCTTCCTACGTGTATCTGGAAACATGTACCGGTACTTATACATGAACTGTACGTTTATTATAACATGTACCATGAAAACAGGGACAAGAGCTTTCTAGCTGAAAGCAAGAGCAGAAACATGTACATGTATGACAACTTTTCCAGGAGTACACAGGTTGTAAATTAATTTCACTATTCTGGTACTCGCAGTGCATGTACTGTACATGGACACTGCATATTCATCCGGCATCTGCCTGATTGCGATGAAAAGCGACATAGCTAGCAAGATGAATATGCAGAACTAGTCCGACTTGAGAACCTACCGTCGCCACATACTAACCCACCCACAAAAGCACAAACAAAGTTGGAATGATTACCAAGTTTATGCAACATACCTTCAACACCGATGGAAACTTTATCCAAGCATTCCATGAGTCCACAGATTTACAAACATGTACATGTAGCTCATAAAACAACTTACACCTTAACCAGCAGCCATGGACCAGGTCACAACAGCACTGCTTTGCTAAGTAAGTCATAACAGGGTCAGACCCTTTGACTGTGTGAGTGTTAAAGTCCCCGCCTTGGAAGTGGCCATGACTGGTTGCCTATTCTTGCTCCCTTCCACTGGTAACCCTGGCAACCGGATTCAGCAACCAATCACAGAGGAAGGTTGCAGGCAATGCCCTCTGAGGCTAAATGCCAATCACTTTTGCAACTTGGCAATGCACTATGTAAGAAAGCAGTTTTAGTAATATCCTAACATAAACCAAATGTACATGTACACACGGCCTGTACATACACGTACATGTATGTATGGAACTTCGAGATGTACAGTGCATGTACATGTAGGCAAACTTCTTTTCCCAGAAAAAACTTCTTTTCCCAGGAAAAAGCATTGAACAGTACTCATGTGTGGTACGATCCCATGATGTCAGCAAAGGGCCAGACCAAATACAGTATAGGCAATTGCAGTGAACAGTTCAACCACAAGTCCACACTCAGACAGTGACACATTTATGCACATATACCTGTATTCTGTGTGCCCATTCTGGAATTTCTGAGAATCTCGTTTGATGAGAGTACCACGCAATTATTTCCAAACGATTCCTGCTTCAAGGAAATGAAGAACACATCAAGTGTACAGATCCCAGCTGGAAGCCAGGTACCGGTATGAACCGGTACTCCTCCAAAGAAATCGTCTCCACAAACATTCACCGAAAAATGTTGGAGCACTGTACCATTGTATCAGTGTCAATTCCTCAGAAACAGCAAGCCTGAAATCAGAACCGTTTCCGGCAAGTCCTGAAAGATTGATTTTTATAATTCCAGGGAAAAGCTGTGTTTCTTGATAGCAATGTCCACGGCTTCATCAAATCCAGTGAGGCCTCTTCCAAATTTGATCAAAGCATCTGCCCAGTGAAGGCAGATGAACCGTTCCCCTTCAGAGGACCGGACAGCCGGCGCATCCTTGGTTGGAAGAAAATATTCCCCGGCGGAATGCCTGTGTGGAATGACTATCACATGCCGCATCGACTCGGGTCATCCCCCGTGTTAGAAATGGTCTGGCCTGTAGTTCCACCTCACCCATTTTCCGATTTCACATAAACCGTGCCGCAAATGGAGGGATGCGGGCTCTCCTGGCTGGTGTTAGCCAATTAGTCAGCACAACCTGATTACAGAGGAGACTAATGATTGGTCTGATGTTTCCTGGGATCTACCACCTCTGTTAGCGGGGGTGGGTCATTACTCACTGGTCAGGCAGCCACGACACACACACTGCAGACTCCACAGTGGGAATGCAAAAAATCTTTGAGCACGTGATTGAGAGTGATCGGTGCTTATTGAAATATTACGAGGCCAATAAAACAAATCACAACGTGTGTTTCTCTACTGGTCGGTACTCATGTCATGAAAGTAATATTCAGAAGCCTCCAACATGTTATTCTATTTTACAACGTTGTTTACACAAGACATATGCGCACTATCAAGTGCACTGAGGGTTCTCATGCTAACTATTCAGCATAAACATACACTTTGCATGCGCACATGCTTATAAACAAAAGTGCAGAAGAGACAGTACACTGTTATGGATCTCTTTCACAACATCCAAATTCATTTGCCAGTCTTGGGCAATAAAAGAGGTTTTGCAGCATTATTTTTTTTTTCTGAAATGTGCATTTATCAGCATGGTCATACCGGTGCGATGTACACACATGTAGGCCAACATGTAAAGAACATGTACATGTACATAGCGCTATGAGATGAAACGATGTCAACATTTTTCGGCAACCTCAATCTGCTTGAACCCATATTCATGCTGAAATATTTTGTGACGCCATCCCCTTGTTTTTCCATTGCCACGCTGAAATTGTTGGAAATTCACAACCTGAAAATGCCTTGAGGCAACCTCGGCTTTACGTGAAGCACATGCGCCCTGTCCATTCCAATGATGGACATGGGACCCTGTCTCGCTTGCCAACGGTGGATGATGGAAGACAACAGATGGATTGAATTGGAGAGCCCTAAGTAGTTACTAATAATATCCGACTTGAACAGTAATTGGGCTAGGACAGTCATTCAATTAATAGGCATCCAGATGTGCTGTCCTGCTTGTTCAAGAAGAAAATGCAGGTATGTAAAAACAATTCAGGAAAATACTTGCAGTCTAATTTTGAAGCACTGACAAAGTGAAGCCTCTGTATCAACCCCCGTCACCAGCTTCGGCTATGGAGGGCCCCCACAGTATCAGCTAGGGGAGCCACAACACAGGAACAAACCATATAGCATACAGAACCCTGGGGTTGTGGGAAAAATAAATCACAGTGTGGTAAACTTTTTTTAAAATTAATTAATTGAATGAATAAGTTTCTACTTGTTGGCCTACCGTAGGCCTACCGCAGGCCAACACGCATGTGATTATTCACATTCAGAATGTGATGTTAACGGCTCATTTAGAGGATGTCTGAACATAGTTTTTATACTTGATGCTTTTTACTGATGGAGGGCCAGCTTCCTGGAGGGGAGGGAGCAGTCCCCTTACCCCCCCTTGGTGACAGACCCACGCTGTATAAATGCAGAAAGCAACTTTTCTCCTAGCTGTTTGTACTCTATGTTCCTCAGAGCAGCAATTTCTCAGGCTGTCCAATTTATCATGAGAATGTGTCACGGTTATTCCACGGCATCCAATTTGTGCACCCGTAAATGTAAATCCAATCATTCATGAGATAATAATGTAACTTTTATGGTCTGAGTGAGCAATGGGTATCGGCTTGCTTTGGGCCTAGACAGTTTACCAAGGGCCACGACTTCACAAAGTGCCCCAAGGGGAGACAGCTGCCATACCACTGGATTCTTTACTGAAGGTTGAGTTCATCGACTGTCTGGGAGAATCTGCCCATTCCAGCTCCCAGACCGACATCCAATTATTGTGACTTTTGAATTCAACAGGAATCAATCTGGTAATTGTTTTTGAAGCCTGTCTTTGATATTTGGAGGAATTTAGTGTTGGGGTGATACAAATCTTTAAATTGGGGGTTCAACGGCAAGGGTGCTGCCTGGCAGAAGGCCGTGAGTTCAAGTTCCTTCTGAGTAGATGGAGAAATTTCACTCACAAAGTCTTCAGAAGTGCTGACAATAATGTGTGAGCGAAGGCCTGAACCATAGAGCTCTATTAAGTTACTAGAGTGCGAACTTTTCATCCTCCGCCCGGCGGAAATTTGACGCCGTCCTGGGCACAGACATTTTGATTCCATGTGCGTGCTTGTAGAACATTCAAAATCAGATAGAAATCGAATTACGTACTCTGAACATAACGTGTATCGGCTACTGAAAAAATCTGATTAGAAACAGTCATAGCAAAATTATCGGCGGCGCATGTACGCAGGCGTTTGCACTGTTTACGCAGAGCAAAATGAAATGATCAGTTTGTTTTAGAATACAGACACAGATGCAAACAGCCGTACAAAAGCTGTACACAATTTCCAATAGGTTTGTGTAAAAACATGGATGCGCCCAACAGGCATCACTTTGAACGAGTCAGCACTCTATATGCAGGTACATGTAGCTCTGTATGGGCAGAACACAGAATATTGAAAGCCTCCAGCGCACGAATGAATTTGGCAATTTCGACTTTCTTTCCAAACGCCTGACAAAACAACAGAGAATTTTAGACAGCTTGAGCATTCCCAAATTCACAAGCAGACGTACTAGAGGGTGAAGTGATGTAATGGAGATTAATTCTCCACACAGCACTGTTTCCATTAGGTTGGAGGGAAAGGAATTTCCCTGGCTCAGGGACACTTTGATCAGACCCTCAAACTGTCATGGGGCAAATTTCAAGCCAGGGCAAGGACTTCCAAGGACCTCCAAAGTTGAAAAAAGAAAACACTTAAAGAAGTAAGAACTTATTGGGAGTCGCCTGTGGTTTTTTGTGATTAATGAGAAGCAGGACTTTAGGGAGGCTTTTGTATTCCATGAGGGTGGATACGTAAGTTCACTAAGTGCTGGAGAATGCACAAAAATCTGAAAATGGAAAGAGAACTGCATTATGCACATCCATGTACATGTAAGTCCGACGCCTCATAGGTCTGACGCCCAAAAAGACATACATTTACATGTATGCACATACATGTATGTACGCATGTTTATGAACATTTCACTAATACCAGACGGTGAACACTAAAAACAAGCGTGAACAAAATGTATGGGCATTGTATCCAAAGAAATGCATGTATGTAGTCCGCACACTGGTATACATGTACGCTGTACGAAGTACATGTACATGCAGACATAGCCCTCAGTTATGGAATTACATATCTATGTGTGCACTCCTTAAATTAATGAAGGTACCGTACACGTAGTCTACGAACAGTGAAAAGCACATTTGAAACAACTGTATGTTGCACGTACACCAGTGCAAACAGCTTGCACCTCAAAGGTGTCCACACTGATTTCTTGTGACCTTTTGCGGATATTTTACAGGGATTTCCCAAAGTGTACCTTTGGCAATTTGTTGGTGTCACTTTCAGTATCTGTCCTGCAAGTTATCACCTAAGGGTCGCATTATGGAAAGGAAATTAGCTCCGAGACTACTGAACCACACAGAAACTTGTATGTTCTACATACATGTATTTGGACAGGAAAGCTCTGAGACTACAATGTAATGAAATTAGAGCAGGGATGTTGTTCTGGGAATTCTTGTTGCCGCTGATCATCAAGCGAAATCGGAACATTCAACTGTAATTCTGAAACAGGTTTCAGCCAGTAACTTCCTGGATCCAGTTTTAAAGTGAGGATCACATGTCTAAATATAACACTTCAATTCAAGTACCGGCCATTTTAACACATCCGCAGCAATGACACTCTAGATGCGTACGCATACATTGTACTTTCCTGAAAGCTTTCAGCCCCCCCCCCCCGGACGCCATTACTGCGGTGTCTCCCCCGTCACTCAGGCACGCATTCTTATACTTGATGCGCATGTGATTTTGGTTAGCAGTGCACTCCCATTGGCTGAGGAAGCATTAGGGACCCCGCAATAATGACTCCTGACTCTTGTCACCGAATCGGTCTATTGTATCATTTGTGCACTGAATAGAGTGCATGGCCATCCCTAAAAAGTTTCCATTTTAAATGAACTTACATTGCACGCCCCCCCCCCCACAAGTTCTGCTTCTTGTGCATGGCATCTGAAAGCACTTAATATAGGGTTCATTAACCGTAGGTCATGCGTGCATATACATGTACACGTAGGTTAGGAATTCATTTTCACTTTTGCACGAGCGCATCGACAGGTTACAAAAGCATGAAAAGTAACAACAGCAAGAGAGGTCGGTTAGCATTTGCTCCAAATGGAATGAATCCTAACAGCCCTGAATACTACAAAGTACTGTGCTGCCGCTTGTAAGAGGACTAACCTTACTGTTCTCTGAAGCCACAAAATACAATAGATACATACATGTAAGACAATGTAACCACAGTGCTCTGGCATTATGAAAGCATAACTTTATTGTTCTCTGTACGAGTAACAATTGAGGGTGTCCTAGCCAGAAGTGATACGCCTAATTTGTAGCGCTAGGTCCTTCAGGCTCAGACTACTGCTTAGTATTTTGTAGTAAGTGAGTACTGCAAGCCAAATTTTATGAAGAACTGTTAGTATAGGGTTAAAGGATACTGATGTAATGGCAGCTCCATGCCTAATAAAATGCACTGCTACATGGTACAGTACATGTACTGTATGCCTGTACATGTACGTAAGTCCACAGTAACTGACTGTTACACCACATTCAAACTATGTACAAAAGATGACATACTTCTGTACAATGTATTTCCTTTATTTCTTATTTCACATCCAAAAACTGTTCGGCCGTTTTCGGCGCACTGTCAAAATAGAGTACATGTCAGTACATTTGTACGTGTAGGTCCGGAAACAGGAAGCAAATTACTGGTACAATGGGGGGGTGGGGCCTTAGATACATGTACCAGGACAGGTACATGTACACACGTATACACTGACCTTCCATGCAGATTTGTGCATGCATGGGGTCCAATTGTTTGTGCCCCTGTCACATGATATGATTTTGCTACGCAAATCACATGTACCTGGCAAATGAATAAAAAATGGTTTGAGTCAATTTCAGTGATAGGACTAAATATATGTACGGTGCATGTAAGTAAATTTCCAGACAAAATTACAGGTCAGTATAGCAGGTGCATGTACATGTACAGTATCGGTAAGCTTTTGGACCCAATTTTACCTGTAGGTATTGCTTGTCGTGAACTGCATAGGTCACCATGTACATGTACAAGCATCACACCTTAAAATACAATTTTGAAAACACTCTTAGTCCATGTACACTGTATTCCAGACCCCACGGCAATGCTTTTACACATAAACTGCCTGTAATGCATGTGATACATGCACAGAAAAATGAAAACTTAACGTGAAAAGAAGTATGTAAAACACAACTGCTGCAAACTGCTTGCTGACTGCAATGACCTAAAACAGGCCTACAAATCTCAAAATATGCAGGGCCTCACATATCGATCCTAGCAGAATCTTAGGTTGAGAAAGATTCTGCTAGGATCGAAACGTCAGGCCCTCCATATTTCAGAAAGATTCTGCTAGGATCGAAACGTCAGGCCCTCCATATTTCAGAAAGATTCTGCTAGGATCGAAACGTCAGGCCCTCCATATTTCAGAAAGATTCTGCTAGGATCAAACAGGCCCTCCATATTTCAGAAAGATTCTGTTAGGATTAAAACGTCAGGCCCTCTATATTTTGAGAAGAAAAGAAGTAAACACGCTTCCTCCATCACCATAAAAGGCAGGGCTGGCACATGTATGAAATGCCTTGACTTTGCACATGGTAAATGAATGTAGTGTTGATGGCTTAGTCATCAATTCTTGTAATCAGAGTCATCTTTATTCTCGAGCAGTCAGGCCTCGCCCACGCAGAACCCATGCAGTGCAGGGAGCAATGACTGAAGGACAAGCTCCATGTATTATTATCTGAAAAGCAATTAATCAATATGGCCAAGGCCTCTTTATCAGGACAGGGTTTCCTCCTCTGTCCGATGGTGTTTACTTTGACAGTGGAGAATGCACGTGTAAATATTTTGCAGCGTACATGTACTTGATGCACACAAGTACATGTACTGAATGTGAACTGACGATGGGCTTGGTATGAACATAGCAGGCCTGCTGGTTGATTGGTGCATGCATGCTTTGCATGTCAACACAAAAGTTTTTCACCCTAAGCTTCCCAAATCCTCCAAGGCAGGAGGTCATGTTGTGTGACTGTGAGTGTCTACCTACAATGTACAATGTACATGTAATAACCCAATGCCCTGGCTGTAGACATTCATGCGTTAGTACCCAGTTCATGTAGCAAACTTTTCTTCTGTGGCCGGGAAATATTCGAGACCAAAAACACCCAACTCAGAAGAAGCATTTTGCAGCAGGAAAGCCAGTAACTAAGTTTACAAACGTTAGCAAGTGGAAAGAGCACTAGGAAAGTAAGCAGCATAGACTATGCTGTACATTTACATACATGTATCACAGACGAACAACTTTCATTATTTAAAATTCCAATCAGAAAGACAAAGGAAAACTCTACTTGTAAATTTCTCTGAATATCAAGAAAAATCCGGATCCTCTAGGTGGGATTTCCCAAGTTAAGTTAAGTGTAGACCACTTTTCAATCATGGGGCTATAATGTTGCTGTTGTTGTTAGTCATTTTAATGAGGTTCACACTTTTTAGAGCATTACGGTAATTGCACCTTATACACTACTCACAAATGAATTCCAAAAAAAGATGTGGTTTCACTTTCAAGTACAGTACACGTCTTTTTGTCAGATCAGCCAACCAGCCAAGGTCAGTACTCTTGAGAACTCTTTCTATACAGTGTATATGCACATTTCATGTCTTGTTTCCATCAACATGATATCACTCCATCTTGACTCTCAACTCCAAATCATACAGGAAAAGAATGAACACTTTCTCTGGACTGAGTTTGTGACTATGAGCAAATTGGTCCGTTCTTTGCTCACACATGAACACAGTAGTTTATGACATCAGGAAAAGTTATGTGCCTTGAGCCTTGCCAATATTTACAATGTACATATATTTTTCAGAAGAAATGAAATGCTGTTTGTTTACCTTGAGGGCATCTTTGAAATATTGAGGAAAGAGTTGCATACAGGGACATCACTTGACAACCCATTCACAAACCCTAGGGGACGGGTCTGAAATATTCTAAATATTTTCTATGTACATGTAAATGGTTTGATAGTTTCCCTGTTAAATTTGATTTTTTTTTAGGACACTATTTTTTTCTGATGGCTGATTTACCACTGCTGGAAAAAATCTGTGATGTCCGAACATAGAATTATGATGGGTAGGCTTAGTGGGTATTCCAATGTTCCCACATAATGTACACGTATTAGGCTCTACATAAAGAAAAGTTTTGGTCCCCAATTCATCAAGTACATGTAACTACCACTACGTTCAACCAGCATTTCAACTTAAATTTCAAGTAATTATACTTGATGATGTATATTTCCCACAAACTACAAAAACTCGGAGGAAAGAGTTCCATATCCGGGCATAATTCATTGTAAGCTGGTCTGCGAATTTGTGAGTGTTTTCTAAGTACATGGTCCAATATTTTCAGTAATAAATTTAATTTGATTTTTTAGAACATTACTTTTAAGGACATGTTATCACTCAGTCTGATGGCTAAACTAACGTCAGGCTACTACTGGTACTATAACGTGCAAGGGAACATTTAACACTCATTAACCCAAACCCCTAGGGTGTGTAAAATTATATTGAAATCGGAGGATTTGGGAGGGCTAGTATTGGCGTGATGTCCGTATGGAACTGGGCATTCTTGTGAATGGGGTATCATTGTGCGATCTTTTTCTATTGATACAATAATCAATAGCATAACATACGAGCAATAGGCCTGACATGCCGAATGACTTGTAAAATTAGGATGCTAAAAAAAAACTTCGTTACTCAAGTTACTGCAGCCCTAGCATTAATACGACAATTGTACTTTGTAGGCCTAAATTTAAATGTACACATGGACATCCAATCACGATCGACAGTGTCAATGAAACAGGCGGAGGCTTACTTACGTTTACTGCCGTCACACTATAGTGGAAAGCAGGAATCGAAGTGCAGACGGGTATCCCTAACGCGAACAAAGGCTAATAATATCGCAAGTATTCCCAGACGAGCAGAGATGAATTTCTCGTCAGTTCGTAGCGGTGTAGCAAAGACGTGACGAGTCACCGAAGAATGTCCGCTATGCAACTGGTCTGCCAACTTTATTAAACACGATCGTATGGTGTACTATTTACGACAAACATTTCTCTCTCTCTCTCTTGCCTCCCTGCTCCAGGCGACGTAACCAGACGACGCGACGGCACGACGGCTCGTGCTGTCTTAGATCCTTTCCATGTTGCATTTTTTTCTACCTAAACGTCGCCCCTTCCGTCGCCTGTCGCGTCGTGCTGTCGTGCGTCAGTCGCGTCGTGTCGTACATTGCGTCGCCTGAAGCATGACGCGACGCACGACATGACGCGCGACGCGTCGTGTGCTGTCGCCCTTTACTTCATGGTTTCAGTTTATAGAGGGCGCCTTTACTGTTTTCTTTCATTTCCTTCCCCCTGCCCGTGCTTGCACAGTACATGCCATAGGTACCAGGCCTTGATTCTGTTGCTCTTCTTCGTTTCGTGGATTCTTTCAAACTTTGTGTTTTCATTGAAGGTGAATTGTTGAAAAAACTCGTTTCCTTTTTTTTAAATCAAATGTAATCAGAAGAGCTTCGCGACTACTCGACATTGTCTTCAGGAAATATATAACATTAACGTCAGCCACAACAATGTTTTACCTTTTCCTGATCTAATTCTGATTTTTCTAATAATTAGTGTAAATCCATTCTAAGATACAATTAATCAAACATTATTACGTTTTTACAAAAATGTAACAGGCAGATCTGATGAGAAATTAAGGGAGCTGTCGTGTCGTGTAGTTGCGTCGCTTGGATGGAGGCTAAAGACAGAGAAATGCTTGTCGTAAATAGTACACCATACGATCGACCTGTGGAAACTGCAGTCTGGTACCCTTACGTCGAAAAGGAAAATATCGATGTGTACTCGACACGCTTATGGGCCATACCGACTACCTGTCTTGATTGTAACGTGATTAAAGGCTAGACAGAAACACTTAAAATGATCGATTTTTTCTTCTAATTTTCTTGTTTTTAAGTATAATGCGAAAAAGTTGATTCTGTTGATTCTCCAGGACTAAAGCACCTTTTCCCGATTGAAACGAGAGAACTTGAACCAAAGTGCGGAATTGGATTAAAGAAGTTTTGTAAGAGTTGATTTCCCTTTAATTTTCAATAAACGAGATGGGGTGGGGCATGCAGATAAAAAGACATCTAACGAGCGCGAGAAGGGCACATGGTGCGGTCGCCAATGGAGATCGAGGGCGGTGCTTCAATAGTGGAAGGGGTGATATGTCCAGAATTGTACTATAAGTGTTAGTAGTCCTTGCCAGATGCATCTTTAAGTCCATTTTACAAGTGCTGGGGAAGCTAAAAGTTTTGGGGGAATATTTTATTTATTTACAACTTTATTCAAAGGAATATTTTTGGACATTTTAAGGGATTTTTGGACTGACTTCAAAAAAGTAAAAGAAAAAATGGAGAAAAAGCATTGAAATAAACTTTAAGCTGAGACTATATTGCATTTCAATAAAAATTTAATACATGTATTACAATTCCTATTTCACTTTTAAATACTTTCAACGTATCAGTGATTTAACTTAACCAGGTTGCTGCAACGTGCATCAAGTTTAATTATTAGCAGAAACTGCCAGCAGTCAGTGATGACTGCATGCACCCCGCGGACTGGCCCCGGTGTATATATATATACAAGATTTCTGCTCTGTTATTTCTGCTCTGTTATTACAACTCTCCTCAGGTAAGGGAGAAGTCTGAATGCAGAAAAAAGAGTTTCCAAATCAAAAAACCTGAAAAAATTACTAAAGGCACATCATTAGAAACTTGAACACTGGTAAGTGTCTATGATGAAAGCACCCATCCACGTGAAATTCCCAGCAGGTAAAAACATCATGTCCGCAAGATATCCTAACTGACACCATCAACATTTCCTGACATCCTGCAGAAAAGGGATTCAGTGACGAGGGACGAATTTCAGAGACGTGCTGGTTCCACAACTTCCTGTTGTAACTGAGGCTTTTTGTTCAAGTTCGTTTAGAAATTACAGGGGAAAAAACCCCAAGCCCTTTACATCAGCTCATTGCCAAATACATCAAAATGAAAGGATTATTTTCAAAAATAATCCATCAACTTGATCAGCTGCTGCTCACAATACTGATTTACAGTCCCAAAGACTTGTTTTTTAAAGTCCAGTAGTCAAACTAATTGTTTTTACTGGGCTCGCTTGCTAAAATTTATCACTAAAATTGTACAGCCAAGATAAGTTTCTCATTTAATAATGTCCACTTTAATTTAGTTCTCTTAGCTTAGCTTTGTTTTAGCTATGTCTGAGTGAAGTCTTTCTAGTCTAAGTAAATATCCATTAGAGAAGATACGGTCAGCACTTTCGTCAAAGCACCCAACGTCGTCGATTCCCAGCTGTGAAACACCTCCATGCGCTGCTTCTGGTTCATGAGGAAACCGTTGTTGGAGAAGCGCCCGCGGATGCTGTGGGCATCTAACCAAACAAAGGGAGCAGTGGTGTCGCTCATCAGCCGGATGTTGAACGTGTCATTGGCACCTTTGGAGACTTCAAACTGCAAAGACAAAAAGCCCCAAAATCACTCATTTAAACCATCATAAATATTTTGGGAAATCTCAAAACGACAACACGTGACTGAAATAACGCCACTCAGAACCCACCTTGATGTGTGCTTGCTTGATCCCCTCCGCATCCTTGAATGATGACAAGTAGAAGGGGTTGACTGGTGACGTCAGACGAGGCTGGGTACCGGTGACTTGGAAAGTGAGGTAACAAGCCTCCCGCTTGGGGCAGTTTGGGGACAGTATCTCTGTCATTTTCTGCACTAAGACAGGCTTTGCACTCTGGGCAAACTATGCAAATAGCAATGTGAGAACAAACGGTCATACCTCTATAACCGAGTGCAATAACATGTTGATTATCCAGCTTGACCTTCAAAGTCATGGCCAAAAATGTGCTATATGATGTGGCCTGCATGATTTAATAAATTAATCCTCATTTGGGCAATGGAGTAGACTTATTTTAAATCTTGCTCTCTGAAACCTGCTGTCCTTTGAAAATAGAAAATCATATCGGGCATTTTACTATACCAGACTGTATCTAACCCTCTGGCAGGCTGCTCATGATATATAATCTTATGATTATGATTACTAAATTCACTTCAGAGTACTGGTTAGGGGATATTCTACATTTTCAGTTGAGACTGCAAAAATTGAGTCCTAGATTAGGTTACAATGAAGTCTTGAACTCATTTCCAGGCTTCTGGGAAAAATGAGTCCAAATACGAGAACCAGAGCAACACAGTCCTGAACTGCTGACTGTTTTTCCTTCTCTTTTTCTCACCTGCTGGAATTGTTTGGTGACTGACCGCAGGGGCGTCTGGCTAGCCCAGGCCCAGACGGTGACATTCAACAAGCCCTGGAGGATCCTCTCTGAATCAGTGATGACGTACACCGACAGCACCCCCTTGTCATCTTCCACGCCGGAGGCGAGAAGGGGCGCAAAGAAGTCCTTGGCGTAGTAATGGAGCATCTTCCATTTGCCGCCATACTCTGAGGACACAAGGTTGCCATGGTAACAGTTGGCAAACACAGGGGGGACATTCATGTTGGAATGGCATACGTATAGACATTTATCATGATGCTGCCATGTTTGTCTTGTTCCCGGTAGACCCATTAGCAACAGTAATACAACTTCATGTATTGACTAAAGGGAACAGACTTTTCCTTCCAGCCTCAGTTTGGTTACATTGCTTTGAACTGTAGAAAAGCAAGATGGCTACCTCATGATAGAGGTCTCTTGCTTGAGAGCTTTGGTGCAAACAAAAACTAGTTGAGGACTTACTGGTTTCACTTCCAGAAGGGTACTTTTAAAAAGTGTCAAAATGGTTCGAAAATATCAACAGATGTGAGTCATCTAGCCTTGAAATCTCTCACCGATAGATGCCCAGGATGGAGCCTGCCATATGTCATTCAGCTGCCAGTACACAGCTCCCATCGTCATCCCTTCCCCGGCCACAATGGTCGACTGCAGACGGCGGTAGTGTTCCGTCTCAAACTTGTAGCACAGAGCTTGTGATATCTACGTGTAAAAAGCCGCAAGGATTTTGTATCTCCTTTTAACAGTTCAAGACCGAAACCAAGGGATGGGGGTTCAGATAATGGTTATTATTCTGGACAATTAATACTGTTCGGAAATTATGGTTTACCTGGGTCAGATATATCCTGTCGATGAATTTCTGGGTTGCGTTTGCGGAGGTGCTGTCTTTAAAATGCCGCTGGATCTGCATCATCATCTGCTTGTTTCCTATCATCGACACAAGAAAAGACATTAAGAAAAGCACAGACAAATTTTATTCCACATGGGCATAGAACAATGGAAGCATTTTTGGTCAGCTGGCCTGCTGTCACAAGACTCATACAATAGCCCCACTTTGAAAGCATTTGTTCCTGCATAGAAAAAACACATTGTGGCATAATATCTTGCTCAAGGGCACAACCACTAATCCCTGGCTCCATGCTGTACAGTTTCACACCACCATGTTCTTGAATGAATGAGAAAGCACTTGGTAAAAACAGGTGAAGATGCCTTTTTGGGCAAAGACAGAGGCTAGTGAAGTTTTAAAGGCAAATGAAGGCGAATGAAGAGCGAGCATTATCAAAGCTCAGTGTTGTCAGAGGGGATTTATCCCCTTGAGGTTGATATGAGACTGCATGGTCACCTACCATTTGCATGATGTTGGCGGTGCTCACTGAAGCTGCTGTTGAGTGCCCAGTCTCCCTCCTTGGAAACTGGCCTCAGTGTGTCAAACGAGGGCCAGGACTGGAAGCCGTACTCCGAGGCAAACCGGGGCTTGGGGTACACTGAGACATCCCAGCAGTCAGCAGCATAATTGTAGTAATGAACTGTAATAAAAACAATGGAATATTAAGGAAATATGATTAGAAGGTTTGAAGTAAGGACAAGGCAGTGCGACAAAGTTTCAGTCAGCATTTATGCGAATGTCTCTTTTAGGGGTGAGTGACGTTTTGGAAAAGAGCTGGTGTGAGAGACTCAGAGAATCAGGAAGATTTTTGTGAGGTAGATCACATGGTGGAGCACTCCAAAAGCACTGTTAATACACGTATCATGATGCAGTGTTATATGAAACCCCAGAAAAATTGAATCTTTGCAATTGGTCAGTTTTATCACACTAGTGATTCCTACTAACCCCCAGACCTTCCCTTTGTATTCATAATTTGCTCTGTGATGCCATGTCTGAAAATTGGTGGTGTTGTCTCTGGCTATGGCTATGGCTATTTGCTGCGGAATACAAATGGCAAACAAAAAGCCAAAGGCACATAATGAATATTTGGCCAGGGCCTGGCCTCATTTGGCTCTCCTCAGGAAAGCCACTGGGACCTCCACAGTTCTAGATAGAATGTACAACTGGTGGGTTTCTTGTCTAGCGCCTCACCGTCGCCGTAGTGAGGATCAGTTGGGTCCTTGGCAACCCATCCTTCTTTCTGTGACTCGGGGCCATTGGAAGGACTGGAGCTGACAGACGGCAAGATGGCGTTTTCTTCGTTCAGCGCCTTCAGGATGGTGTTGACATACAGGGTGACATAGTCCTTCTGGTAAAGGCTGAAATTCTTTGCTGTTCCATACCTACAAACATTTGTGTAAATCACAGACTAGAATTAAGTGATGTACAGAAACGTTTGGAAACAACACTTTGCAGGATAATTGGAATCTTTTGAATGCCAAATCTCTTTGACTGCTTTCCATCAATGTAATCAGAACAACTTCTAAAAATTGCAAAGGTAGATTTAAAAGAGCAGTGCTCTCAAGGAATCTCAGATGTCACCAGCAAGGTAACACCATTTTCTTCTCATTTATAACTGTATGTATAACTCTTGAATATAAAAATCAAAATAGCTCTTGTGATAACAACACACACAGGACTTTTTCAAAGATGGAACACAGGACTTACCAGTTCTGTCTCAGGGCAACTTCGTTTTCGTTGTTTGCACTCCAGGCAATGACCGATGGATGGCTTGATAAACGTCTCACCTGTAACATATAAGATTGAGCCCAAGATTAAGGATGGCTGATACATCAGGCAAATGGAGAAGCGCAACAAATTTGTCATCACAGAATTGATATCACACTTTCTAATTTGTCCTTGCTTTCACAGCAAGTGTGAACTGATGCTTGCAGTTACCTGTCAGTGTTTCAGTCAAGTACCATAGAAGTACTTGTAATTGTTCAACAAGTCTTTGCTGGTACCCAGTCACCATTTAAGCCATGAGCTATTTACCAGTCCAGTATTTCAAAAGCGCATGCTCAAAATGAAGTGCATCTGAGGTCATTTGGGGACAGCAGTACGCAATCGAGAGGTCTGCCCAATCAGTGCAGCCATACACTGACTCACGTGTGGGTTCTTCTCGAATCAACTTGGGTTTTGGGATAAAGTGAAATATCTCATTTGCTCATCCTCTGTACATAGTAAGAGCACTTATAAAAGCACCAGTGATAACTCGTGGAAAATACTCTTAGAGTGTTTGTGAAGTATTTAACTACAGCTCTGGGCCCAATTTAATGCCGGTGCTAGGCACACAATTTCAAGCTCTGCGCATTTCGGAGAGACCCTAAGGAGTAAACACAGCAAAAGGCACGCTAAACTTGGAGGAAAGATTTGCTTAACTTAGTGACGTAATAATGAAAATCTCTATGCACGCCCATGCAATTTTTGGTGATGAGCAAAACAATCATGAACTGTTCATCGTGAAATATGCTTACTGCTAAGCAAATTTTTGTGCTGTGGTTAACAAAACAATTGCTTAATGGTAAGTGCCGTGACGTTAGGCCCTGGTACCTGTTGGACGACTTCCTCTGTCACACTGCTCAGAAAGGCCGCACCGACTGGGTACATGGCACAGGCAAACTGGAGGTCCTGCCACACCAGGATGCCAAGCTGGTCGCAGATCTCATAGAACGCGTCCTGCTCGTACACCCCGCCGCCCCAGACCCTGGTGGCATGCATGTTGGCATCCACCAGGGACTGCAGCAAGTTGGCAAGGTGGTCGCGGCCGATGCGCTCCTGGAAGGCGTCCGCAGGGATCCAGTTGGCCCCCTTGATGAAGACGGGGAGAGTGTTGATCTTGAAGTAGAAGGACAGGCCTGCATGAGACAACAAGGGAGAATGCCACAAAATACACACATTGATTGTCACAATACATGAATATGGACTGTCACAATATAACTGTCACAATATATGGACTGTAACAATATACATATACTGACTGGCAATAGGGGCAATAGTGAATACCTATGCACCCCCAACTCTGTAACTGATAAGGGCCTTGATAGCCACAAGACATTGTCCCAATCTATCCAAACCAAATATGAGGCCTGTTTGTTTCACAGGGATCTGGATCAGGATCAGTGATTCAACGTTGGTTCACGGACACCAGAACCCACCGAATGGAGACAGCAAACCGGCTTTGGGATCAGTGCTCAAGATCCAGGTCTGCGTTTGTTTCACGCTTGAATCACTCATCCATCCGATATTCAATTTTCTTCTCCATGACTACACAAACATTTTGAGAAGGTGGGCCACCTGTCACAAATACCGCCTACCCATTCAATTTCCTCATGATGAAGCTGTTTCCTAAGACTCTTTCCATTTACCTTTTGAATTTGGGACCTCTGTTTGCACCAGCTCAACGTAACGGAAGCCAAACTTGAGTGACTTGGTGGAGTTTTCTGTAGGCTTGTCGCTGCTTTCAAAACGGATGTTGAGATCGTAGAGGGGCTGAGTTCCAAACCCTGCCGGCCACCATGTCTCTGCCTGCCAAAAAAAGGTCTGTGATAGACTTATCCGAGGAGACACCATGATGACAGCCCACAACAGGTGCCCCCATCAAAATCTGCCACTGGCCAACATGTGTAATATCACACTGCCTGGTTTCTTCAGACAACCCATGTATTGCTTTGTTGGCCTGCTTGTTAGTTTTTATGCTGTAATTCCATGCCTGAATTACCTGGCTACGGCTTGCAGAGACACACGTGTCAATGGGAAATGGCAGCAGCCGCCGGCTAATGGCTTTCATTGACAAATGTGTAATTCTTTATAGCCAGTTCTTTCTGATGCAGCCAAGGTTACAGTATTCTCCAAGCTCACATATGATCCGTTAAAACTTATTTCCGTCGTTCGGCAATGGTGTTTCACAATGTGCTTAATTAACAGTTTTTCAGGCGCAGGAAAATTATGGATTTCTGACTCACATTCTGTACTTGAAACTGCATGGATGCGGTAGTCTCTTGTTTTGTTAGAGCAACAGGTGTCGTCTTTGAGACACTGAGCTGTGGGAAACCGGCCGTAAGGGTGCCCTTGCATGCAGCATTTGAACCGAGTTCAAAATGAATGGTGATGTTGATGGACCACGGCCGAACATAGAATTTCTCTGGGGAGAAAAAAAAAAAAGAGACAAAATGCTCCAATAACAAACAAACTTGTCCAAAATCTTCGTTTTTCAACACATGTAGGAGTAACATTGGCTAAAAAGATGTGCATTGATTAAAATCTGCATTCCAAGGATGAAAACATCTGAAAGTTTATTTCCAAAAAGTCAACACTGTATACACCAATTTTTTCATACAATTTCCTCAATGCAATAAATGTAATGAGTGACGGCAAATAATTAAATCCTGAGGTCCCAAGCATGCTACCAATTTATCGCTTCTTGAAATTTCCAAAAATTAACATAATATAAACATGCTTTGACAGTTGAAAAATTGAGTTTGAAGGATAGGAGGGAAAAAGAGAAAAAGATGATTAAAATTCTGACAGAAATACAAATACGTACTGTTCCACGGAACAGCTGTGGCGACAACATCTCTTATGACAGCACAGTCAAAAGTCTCAATACGAATGTTCTTCCTGTCAAAAAAATAATGGAATACTTTTTACGAGAAGCACCTTTACACTGCAAACTTTGTCAAAAGCGGCAAGCAGTGGTAAACTGATTTTTTTTCCTTCATATGAATCAAACTGTATTGAGCATAGCGTTGTTACCAATTGGTTATAAAATCATTATTAATCATTTCTGGTAATGACACCAAGGATTCCTTAAAAGTGCCCCTGGCAATGTACCTCCTAAGCCTGAAGAAACCTGTGGAGAGGAGACAATGAGAAGCAGTTACAGTTTTAGAGATGGAAGGAAAACCCCCGAGGAATATTCTGGGTAAAACCTCACGGAATCAGGTAGGGACTGAAAACCCAATTCACATGTAGGCCGAGCCGGGATTCAAACCCGGACCGCAGAGGTTGAAGGCAAGGAAAAAAACCTATACGCCAACCTGACTCCCCTAATTTCATTGCCAGTTCAAATTCTCGAAATGCAATTTCAATATGAACTCGATACAAACAACAGAGTAAAATTGCTGGTGTCTACCAGATGGCTTGAGGGGCAAATGCGGGCCCCCAGTCCCATCCAAAGGAAGACTGCTCCTTGCGGATGAAGTTGGGGTGGCATATGCCGTGCTGGACATCAGGGGGGCAGTCCGGGGGGACGTCGTAGGCCGTGTGGGCTTTCCACTGGCTCTGCGCGTACTTCACAGCTGAGCTGAAGGCCACAGAAATTGTGTTGGTCCCCTCCTACATACGGGTCAAAAGTTCCAATGTGTCAAGTACCAATTCTGACGGCACAAACTTAGGGGGTGGAGGTTGGACATCCCTCCAGAAGTTTTGCACACTCAATTACAACTAGTCCACCCGAGACATCAAACTCCACGGGAATTTGGACTGTAGACCTTGTTAGTTGATGGACAGGGGGGGTCTTGGGAGGGTTCAGCATCTTCATCATGACACTAGGGTAGATATTAGGCTGAAAGCCGGGAAATATTTTAAGGCCATGGGATGGTTCAAAATTTTTAGCAAAGGTTGAACATTATTAGAGATGAAGGGCCTGTTTGTTTCACGTGGATTTGGATCTTGATCGGTGATCCCAATGGCGGTTTGTTCCATCTATTAAAAGAGCTCTGGTGTAGGGCTGTGCTGAATATCCAAATATCTGTGTATTTGATCGAGTACTGAATATTCAAATATTATTTTCCAAATTTGAATATTCAAATGCAAAGTTCATGAAAAGGAAGGGAGAATTTTTCTTTTTCAAATGAGAAAAACTGCACTTTGGAGGCTTGTTTCAAGTAGATCAAATGGAAAGCCACAGAAACCTTACAACAATTCAAAAATTAAATTATTCATTACAAAATTTTAAAGGATAAGAAGTATCTAAATCTTGCTAAATGATGGCTGAAGAGACGTCCAGATGTGAGAAGCTATTACAGTGATTAAAATGTACAATTGTTTGCATTCTTGCAACTGATTTTGTATATGGTTTGTTCATCAATAATCTGCCAGTCGGTAAGACCGAATGTTCAGATATTCGATCGAATTGAAGGTGGAATATTCGAATAGTGAATAATTCAAATTGACTCAGCCCTACTCTGGTGTCAGGGAACCAACGACGGATTACTGTGAAAGAAACAGGCCAATGATGGAAGTTGTACAGAAATGGGAGGCAATACTCAGATAATATTATTGCAAATTATTTATTAACAGTCTCCCAAAGCGTAGAGAATGGGAGACGGGGCTCCACAGATATCAGGGGAGGACTTTGTTAAATCTCATGAGGCCACTTAGAATGTGTAATGAGAACTGGTATTTCGTGTGAAGTCATTCCACGGGTTTCAAAGTCAAACTGTAAGCATTAGCAACAAATCCTGCAACATACACGTTCTACATACTCACTTTGAGGACATTTTTCACGTTAAACTCGTAGCGGATGAACATGTTTTCAGACTTCCCAACTGACTTGCCATTGATTGTGACCATTGAAATGGTGTCCAGGCCCTCGCAGATGAGCAAAACATTTTTGAGAGCCAGTTGCTCCTTTGTTACTAAAACAAGAGGAAAACTTGGCCGTCACGTAATGGCTTAAGAAAGCACTGAGCATAAAAAACATTGAATATGTCAAAAATGAGGAAAAAAAAGTAGGAAGTGCGGTTAAAAAACACTCATGATCCTTGACTGCTTACGGTTGAACTTCCTCGAGAAGGTCCAGTTGTTGTTTGCCACCCAACGATAATTGACATCGTTACTTTCCATGTACGGTTCATCGATCTTCTTGGCCGCCATCAAGGCTGTGTACACACCCCCAGGCACAGTGGCAGGCACCGTGATACCTCCATAAACAATACAAATCACAGTTACATTGTAAAAAATATCGCCCATGGAATTTAACAGGCAATGATATACCAGACTCCAAACACCAGACAAAAGCAAGATATCACCGCCTGTAACCAGGAGGTGGTAGGTTTCGGTCCCACATGGTTAAACTTGTGAAATTTTTTTCTAATGTACTCTTCGAAAGCTCCAAGCACAAAGCACTCCTAAAGTTGATTTGCAAAAGGTAGTAAATGTTGGAAGCCTGACTGATGGTACAACAATAGAGGGGTGGGAAAAGGCTACCCCGTAAGTTTCCCGATCATTTCTTTGAATATTAAACCTTGAATTAATTTTCCTTTCGTGGGGGAGGGAATGAAAAGGGGGGTGGATTGAGCTTGTGGGCCTCCGAGTTTGACCATGTATTCCGCATGCATCGCTAGAGATTAAGCATGGCACATGCCGACTGCAAAATCAGGAAGGCTTTTAGTGATGGTGCAGTTACTGCAAGCTTAATGCCAGCTAAAATGCAGAGAAAAGGGACGACACCTTCTTCTACATGTAAATAACAGGCTTTCCCAATGTACAAAAAATGTACATCGATCAAGTGTTTATCTATGGCTTACTTTTATTTGCATTGGTGAGTGACCATGTCCCACCCAGGTCGATCCTGGTTTCTGCTCCGGTCCACTGGAAGCAAACCGCCAAGGTTAACGCCAGTAAGGAAATGTGGACTTCCATTGCAACGTCCCAGCTGACTGTCAAAATCCTGCAGCACTGGGGAGACATTATCCATTACATTGACCATGTGTGTTTTCAGTTGCTTTCATCCACTGTAATCTTGCCAAATACCCTGAATAACTTTATTTTTCATGGAGAAAAGTAAGCCAAATGCTCAGTATGGTCAACAAACTCTCAATAAGGTGCATTTGATGACCATAGCTTCTACAAGTTGACACAGGGTTTAACCTCATCCGCAAGGATTTATTAATCCCAATATTTGTTATTTAATAATAGGACCGTCACTGTATCATAAGTCGACCATCACCTTTTCTGATTCACGGTTCTCAAAGATTATTTTCAAAAGGGGATATAATGTCAAACATCTCCCACAGGATTGACCAACAGGGCCAGCAGTAAAATCAGGCCTAAAGTTTGTGTAACACACTTCCATATCAACTAGCTTCAGAGGTTGGAAAACCTAGCAATGGCTCGTGGATCTTCTACTCCATGTACTTAGCCACAGAGGTGGGTTTTCGCATTTTTTTAAAATTTCTATTAAAGTAAAAAATCTCTTCCTACCTCCTTGGTAAAACACAGTATACGGACAACACTTGATGCCTCTGTGAGTGTCAGAGAGTTGTCTCAAAAAGTGTTTTCTAACATGTCTAAGAAAATGCTTCAGAATTTTCTCAGCTATTAAATTTTCAATTTTTAGGACTTGTTATCACTTTCTGATGGTTGATAAAATGGGAAGATTAGTGTTGTCCGTATATGAAACTCTTTCCCAGTCGTAGTCATAGGCCCCCACCTGATGTTTGGTGTCAGATCATAGAATTTTGTGTAACCAGAGATCTAGAGGAGAAAAAAAACAACTGTTAAAGTAGATGCGACGACCGCCCTCTCCATCCAAAAGATAGCCACACCGCGTAGTCATGTGATCGAACCACTCAATTTTCCAAAAATAGAGTAACAGCGCACAGGTTAGCGCAAGTGCGCAAGCGCAGCGCAACCGAACCAATAAAACGTCACAATCAATGGCTGCCCAGTAGGAAAAACATCTTTCTGCGGAACTTATTCTTTTTCTCCCGAATACTTTGACCGTTTCCCTCACATTTTGCATAGCCATAGATCCGATCATGAGTGAGTTAACCCCTGACGAGGTATGAACCAAAAATGAGTTGGTGTTTGATAAGTAACAAACTTTTTTAAGAAGATGGCAACTCACACTTTTTTGTGCGGTGATCATGCATGATCATCATCACGATGATTTGTCATTGTAATTATCCAGCAGCGGCACGGGGCATTGTCATTGGCTTTATCGCTCATGTTCTGTGCACAATCATATTGGAGTTCCAGAAAGAGTTCCATATACGGACACTCACAAACCGCATAAGCCAAGTATGAGAATGACTGCCTAGGCTAAGTTTTATGATTTATAAAACCCCGTGAACTGTGCTAGTTTTGGGCTTCGACATCTGCCGCTCTAGGGACCTCAAACCCTACAGTTCTGGGGATGTATGAGACTGGTCTTAAAACTTTTTTGTATGTTTTCCTGCTAAATTAGAATTTTTAGGACATATTATTGGGTTTCAGACGGCTAATGAAAAATAAATTCTGTCATGTCTGTCCGTATATGGAACTCTTTCCGACCTTTCACCATTTGTAAGTTAGCCACACCCTTTTAACAACCCAATGAAATTTGTTCAAACATTGACAGACGCCCTAGTTGAGTTTTCTTTACCTCAGAATTGTTTTATGCCCTGCACCCACTTTTTTGTGTAACGCTAGGCCTAATTGGACGACATTTCTTGTCAACGCAATTGTACCATAAAATCAGTTCATGATAAGGCTGTGCCGAATATCCCATCGATTATCGAGTATTCAAATAGTATTTTCTGAATTTGAATATAAGAATGCAGAATTCATGAAAAAGAAGGGAAAATTTTGTTTTGTTTTAAAGGAGAAAAATTGTACTATGGAGGCTTGTTTCAAGCAGATGCAATTGAAAAGTGACAGAAATCTCACGATTCACAAATTAAATTATTTATTAAACAATTTAAAAGGAATAGAAATTTTTATCAGAAAAAGAAGTATTGTTCATCTCTTAAATCTTGCTAAATCATGACTGGAGATACTCCTAGACGTGAGACTGTAGTGAATAGAATGTACAATTGTTTGCGTTATTGCAACTGATTTCGTATATGCTTTGTTCATTGACAATCTGCCTGTTGGTAAGATGAAATATTCGGCTATTCACTCGAATTGAAGGTCAAATATTCAAAAAGTAAATTATTCGAATTGGCTCAGCCCTAATTCATGACATAAGTACAAGCATTGAAGCCCAACATTATAAATCATGTATGTGGATCAGTCGTGTTAACAAATAACATTCCTATTGAATGACATTGAACTAGTGACCGTGGTCACTCTCATGACCAAATTTAGACTAGTGCAAGTATCAAAAGTAAACATTCTAATATGAAAGTAGAGATAAGTTCCATTGTGATTTAATTTCCTTTTATTTAAAAAACTGTTCAACCATGATTGTACATTTTCTAGCCTGTTCATGCCATTCATTCCCCGTTCAGAAATTTGTTCATTGCCTGCTTTTCAATTTATGAAAACTTAGAACATTGATTGAACATGTAAATGAGATTAATCCTGTGTTTTACTGTTGTTATTGTGCAGCTGCACAAAATTCTTACATTATGAGATTCTGTTTTACATTTAAAGACAATTTTACATTGTCACCTTAAAAGTAAGTGAATGTATTTCTTGAACTTTTGATTTATAATGTGACATTGTTGGTGTGATTGATTGATCTGTATGATTGCTCAATCATTTTATGATTTGTTGATTTTGCTGCACAATTTGCCGAAAATTGTGGCTTCAGCCAATCGTCTTTTCTTTGTACATGTAATTCTTAGTAGTGTGGGATTGTTTCAAGAAAGGGAAGTAACATCTGATTTTCTATTATAAACAAGATTGACGGACGGCACAATGCGATCACGCAATCATGCAACCTGATCATGAGATCATATTGATCAACAGCTCACACCCTGTGAGTCTCCAGGAAATGTGGAGCTACAGATTTGACTGTCAAGTTTATGTAGCTTCCACGAAACTAACAAATGCCTTATGGGCGTGTTAACATTTCGTGATGTTCATGAAATTCATCTCGTTAATTGCTCATGAGATACCGGTACTTGTAAGAAATGAGGTGTGGTGTGTGCCTGTTTTCCAGAAAGTGTCTAATGAACAGAATTTTTGAGGGGTACACCTAAAAATAGTTGACCTCTGCAGGTCATTACTCACATTATTCTAAGTATCTTTACAATGTGTGGGCTGATGGCTGTTTCAAATCATAATCCTTTACCAACGTGAAGTTGTCCATACCAGTTGCGTATATATACCTGTACTGCCTTCAGTCATATCAAGAGTGGGTTGGTTGGTAGATAATCTGGTAACTGACCAAAAATGTAGCGTAAGTAGTGTGAGTAGGCTCACGTGCAGTGTTTGTCATTTGTGTCTCGCTGTCACTGCTGTGAATGGGTTCTACCTATTTAGAAACCTCTCTCTTGAAATGTACAGTACATATAAAGTCATGTCTACATGGTCTAGAGTCTGTGTGGTTTTCAAACCGACGATTCTGAGTCATTGCTATGTTAGGTTTGGGTGACCTTACTCTCTGTCAAGGGAACCGTACATCTGCAACCGCATGCTTCATGACGTCTCACACTGTGAGTCACGAATCAACTGAAAGCTGGAAGACATGAAAATATTTGTACATGTACATGTACACACGTTACATACAGTCGAACCTCGTTAATAAGAGCACTGTAAAGGCAAGATTCTGCTCATAACAGCGGAATGGTTGGGTCTCGGTCTTTTGTTTTTCATTGCTTTCATTCCTGATAATACAAGGTTCCTGTTATAACAAGGTAATCTGCCAAGTCCGAAGGGCCTCTTGTTAACGAGGTTCGACTGTACATGTACATGTGTGCCATGTTACATGTGTATGTGTATACAGCCTTTTGTCACATGTGATTTATATACAGGTTTGCAATGTAGACTGGAGACATAGTTTCAGAGGGTAGGAAATTTACACGTGTACCCTTGTCCTGTTGAGGGATACGCACTAATCAACCGAGGAAAGGTTATTTGATGAGTTTACATACTGTACTGTTCATGTATATGCAATGACCAACAAGCTTCCTCTTTTGTTTATAAACCAGCACATGAAAACTTGAGGCTTGCTCATAAATCTTCACCAGCTTGGCAAATAAGATATGTGCATTGTAATCAACTTCCTGTTCTGGTGCCATCGCCAGATAGCTCGTACTTGTAAGTTGTTTGAGATAAAATGGACTGTGAAAGGTTTTATTGTTGATCATCAAGGAATGTCCAGGCACTTTTTGAAATGTGTAGGGAACAGTGGAAATGTTTTGTGTTTACATTGTAGTAGGATGTTGCAATAAACAGTGTTAAAAACCAATAAAAATCTCATCGTTTGGAGCAAGATCAAATACGTGGCTGTGCAGTATCTGTTGTTGAGGGGAAATTTTAGCCAGCAATTTAGCAGGAAGAGACGAGCATTTCTCAGCATTCCATTCTGAAAAGATGGGAGACCAGTAATGTAGTCATTAGATATAAAGGTAGCAAAATTCCCTCCAGATGCTGTCGGCTGAGAGAAGTTCATAGATTAGTATTACCAAAAGAAGGAAAGCATGCGTCTCCAGCCTACAGTGTGGCCAGACTGTTTCCATAGAGAAAGGATGTGTTTCATGTTGGAAAGGACTAAACTTTCCACGATTTTGCGGATGTTTTCTGATGGTTGGCCAAGCACAAATGCGACTCAAATTAACAAAATAAGGTGCAATTTGCCAGAGACCCTTTCGTGACGTCTTGAGGTGAAGGCTATTAAAAGGGTCCTGCATGATTGTGAATCCATAGAAACCCTCATCATTTTCCCGGCAGTATGACGTACTTTTTCACCAGGATGCCTGACTGAGAGATACCGAACATGTATCAAAGCAAAGACCTCCAGTTTGTTCTCTCTAAAGCAAACTGAGACAAAATTACTGGGGAAAAATGGCCGGAAGACCACTTCGGCAGGATCCAATCACAAATCACTTGATTTAGTTTCAAAAATATTCCCCTCATTTGTCACCCAGATACGCAGGAGGCGATTAGCACGACTCGACAAAAGCCCACTGGCGGGTGCAGCGAAGGCGACGCCAGCCACTGAGGAGACACCCAATAAACTCGGGGCCTCATCTGTTACATCAGAGGATGAAGGCGAGGGACAAGGGGCACCTGAGGCGACCCCCGCGTCGCCCAGTGAGGCACCCAGTGAGGGACTGCAGGCAGCCTCGGGTGCCTTGGAGGCTTCCAGCCAGCCCGGGATGGAAACAGGTTGGTAACGTGTATGGTTGGCTCACTAGAGGTTCCCAGCTTCAAATTTTCAACCCTAACCTTCCCAGATCCCTCTAAATCTACCCGGAGGGTCTGGAAGACCTCCCACAATTCAAGAGGAGTAGAACTCGGCCGCCACATCTTGGCACTAGGAACGTGATGTCTCTTCAGGAAAGTTGAAATCCAAAATTTCCTGAAAAGTTGGGGCCAACCCTGCCCCCCCTGCTATGCTTTTTTACTTTCTCCCAGTACTTTCTTCTCAAGTGCACTGACCTTGCACATTTACTGAACAGCTCTGGGTGTTACATTAGTCCTCAAGCAGGTGTCGAGTGATATTAAATGTACTATTTTGTACATGTAGTCGTCAGATGACTGTGAAAATGACACATGTAGCAACTCAGTGCACGGCTTATGCTGCGCTGTTTCAAATGAGAGAGTAGCGATTCACATTGGCAGAATCCTAATCCAGTGGCTGTGGCTTGGGGTATCACTCCTGGCTATGGCAGATGGCTGCAGCCACCAGGCAGCCACTTCTTATAGGTGCACATGTGATTTCCGGCCGCAGCCACAACGTTTTGGATGTGGCTTAAAAGAGCCCGATGACTGTGCCACGGTCCTGTGCGTCTTCAGTGCACCGTTGCAATTAATGAGAGGTGAGGTAAAAGTACATGACTTAAAAGGTGGAAGGTCTTTCAGACTATTTGTGAATTTGATGCATCTAGGAAGCACCCCGAAAAAAAAAGGGATTTTACAGTCAGGGTAAAAAAGGCCACAGAAACACCTTACTTTTTTACATCTTATCAAACGGAACTGTCAGCCGGTGTATTGTTTCATCACAATACAGACGAGTCAGCCAGCTCGCTGAGTCAGCCAACGGAAACCATGGAGAGCGCCCCCGACGTCCACGACAGCTTAGATTCCGGCTTCCCGGCGAGCATGGAGATGGACTCGGAAACGTGCGACCAAGGGTAAGCGATCCTGTGTTTTCCGCTTCTCTCTTAGCTGTGCCGTGACTTCGCAGAAAGCGAGCAGCCTGTTTCCATCATTCTCTCATCTGGCTTCTATACCCGTTTCCCCTGCTGTAAACAAAAGATGATCCTCAGTTTCCTGATGTCTGTTGATGTGAGATAGCGAACTCTGCCTTGCAAATTTAACCAGGGTCAATGTACAATGTACAAAATAATGGAACGTTTAACATTTATGTGCAAAACACTGTTCTTTTCCAAATCCTTAACTGGCAATCAAATGACACACTGATGCAGTTATTTTTTATGCATTTTAATTGAACTAGACACTGGTTTACCACAACGTATTTCGTCCATTCTGTGAACTTAACTGCCTGTTGTGCTACCGAGTAAATTTAAACAAAGAAAACCCCTGTAAGGTTTTGGAGTTAGCATATTTAGATGAATTTAGGGCTGTACAACCCGGCTTCTATTACAAACTTTGCAAGTGTAGACATATGATTGTCTAGGAAGCTTAAAATTACACTTTCAAGGACCACATCTCTATATCAAAAATATTAAAATGAGCCTATCTGGTTCGTAAGTGATGTCGTCACAAAGGTCGACGTGCCACGATTTGCAGGCTCCCATTGGACGATCGCTGAAGTTGCGCGTTAACTTCCGGTTCCATGTAAATGGCGATCAATGCATGTAAGTCTGTGTGCAGTGCATGTGCAGGGTTTAACTTGAAGTGACGTCACACTTACGAACCGGATATATTTATATATATATTTATACATGTATTTATACATGTATTTATATATTTATACATGTAGGTGTATAAATGGTTTTGCAGGGTTTTCGTTTTAATAAATAATTATTCAAAGTGAATTTCTTTAAACAGTGGGAAATTCCAGAAAAATTATGTCACAGAAATATGTCAACATGAAAAATATTGAGCTTTGTGAAAATCTTTGTTTTTCAGTGATCTCTAGCTGCCCGAAATGAGCGTGCAGTGAACAGATGGCAGATCTGCACCTGGATGCAGATGTCATGAAATTGCTCTATGTGTGTTGTTTGTGTGTTACACAAAAGGGGTGCCCCCCCCAACCAAAGAGTAAATATAGTACATGTAGATTTTCACAGGCCGTAAATGCCAGGAAAGTTTGTTCACCTCCAAAAATTCACCAGGACTGCCTGGAGCAATACGTGCATGCATACTACCTTGTACAAACATGTACACTGTATATGAATAAAATGTTCATGAAATCTCAGTCTTGCAGCAAACCCTCAGGGAAATTATCTTGCAGGATGTCACCAGATGGCTTTTCCAACGAGGGGACGTTTTTTCTTAGAACTTGTTTTGAACATACTGATGCCAACTTGTATTTATCATCAAAGATTACATGTTTAGAATGACTGTCTTGCTTCTTTCTCACCTTCTAAAAAGAGGATGGGGTGGGCGCTCAGAAAAGTGAACAAACTTCCATACTTTTTTGAAAGGTATCTAAAATTCCCCATGATTCTCAAAACTCAAAATATTTGATTTATAAAAAAGGGTATGTTTATATTCTAGAAATTGTTGAAACTATTTCAATTTTTTTTAAATATACATTTTGAATATACAATGCTTTTAATTTTCAAAGTTGTTTTCTTTTTGAAATATTCCTACAACATACCCTTCCAGACTTGAAGAGCCTCTTCTTTGTTCTGTTTTGTGTTCCAAAGTGTCATCAATTTTGTGACAAACTGTGACTAAATTCCTCTCAGCATTTTGTGTTTTTTTCAGACAATTTTGAGAAAACCGAGACATGTCAAACATTTGAATCCTGGAAAATGGGTGACCTACTTTACTTTACCTATTTTTCTGCTACATATGAAAGAGCCCTTCCAGAAACTGTTGCATTTTGTGTTTTTTCCAGACAATTTCGAGAAAACCGAGACATGTCAAACATTTGAATCCCGGAAAATGGGTGACCTACTTGACTTTACCTATTTTTATACTACATATGAAAGAGCCCTTCCAGAAACTGTTGACCTTGAATCTTGCCTGCTTGGGTTCCAGTTTTGGTTTTGAGTACAAATCTAAACTTTTAAACTCTTGATATGTCTCACATCTGCTGCATTGCATGTACAGTACATGTACATGCAATCGCCTACAGACTTCTTTGCTGTACGTTCACAAGTGTCAGTCGGCTTGCAAAATCAGCTGACCACCTGAAGGATGTGCTGCCGATGGTCCTTGTGTATATATGTTAACATCCTTGAATACTTCCTGTCATTCTTTCGAAATAAAAAAAAAAAACACCCCACAGGAAAGCAACTGTTGTGGGCGGTTTGGGCCTGCACTATCAGTTTCTCATCTCTGCCTGTGCTGTATCCATTCTCGGAAACTCTCGGCCACAAAAGGATTTTTTTGGGGGCTTGTTTTAGTGCATTTCCTCTCATTTGGCATGTGTACGTGTCCGCTGTTGACCGCTGTGTCTTTTCACGGAATTGAGGACGCACTGTATACATCTCAACCTCACTTAGTTTATTTAACTTTTCTTGAATGAGCGGGGTGCCCTCTAGAATTGTAATTGCTACTGTGGTACTCTGATAGCTTCATTTATTCAACTGCTGCAATATGTGGTGAGCACCGTCAAACAAAAACTCTCCAGGTCTGGATGTTAGTTTGAAGCGGGTTTTTTTCACCTTTCGACCGGCAAAGTGAAGTGAGGCATCTCTGCATTTGAAGGGACGAGAGTGTACACGATGGTGCTCAATGCTATCTTCTCCTGCCTCTTCCCCAAAAGGAGTCTGTCTCAGATGGATGTGGACTCGGGAATCGAGAACCCCGAATTGGAGGAGACAGTCAAGAAAGGCAAGAAGCCATCAGCAGAGAAGGTAAAGCTTAAAGGTTGCACTTGGGCCCGAAAAGGGGAGAAGATGGGTCAATGCTTTCACTCTTAAATTACCTAATACATGTAGGTCCCCTAACAGAGAAAAATGAATGATGTCTGTATATGGAATTCTTTCCAAATAATGGAATCTCTCAAGTTCAAATTTTGTGTAGGGAAAGAAAAGGAAGATTAATTAGCACTGCACTTTTATAGAGACATATGTTAGTCTGAACCTGATGTCTGGCGTGTTAATATAACAGACCTACACAGATTTGGTTTGTATCTCTCTCGATCCACTTTGGCCTCGTGTCCAGAAATGTCCCAGCGAGGCAGAACTGTTGCAGGTTGTGTCCCGTGTTTTCCACGTGTCCTGGAAGGAACAAGGCAAGGACGTTGTGTATCTGGCCGGCTTGGCCACAGAATTTGCAGAAGAGCCAGAGCAAGGTACATTTATGTTCTTTTCGTTGAAATTTTTATTTTTTTTTTGCTTTATTGTTAGAAACTGGCCTTTTATCTACATGCGTAGTTTTACATGTCTGGTCTTGTATCTGGTCATGTGTCTGGTGTTGTTGCCTGTCTTGTTTGTAGTCTGGCATCTGGTCTTGCGTCTGGTATTGTTGCCAGTCTTGTATGTAGTCTTATGATGGTGTTAACTACATGTACACTGAGCCTTTGGTAGCCACTGCCAAGTGGCTACAGCCACATCCCATAGACACGTGCTTTGCTCCTAGCTATAGCCAGTTCATTCGGACACAGTCCTGGATGTATGTTTGTTATTCTTGATGGCAGTGTTTCCCAACACGGAGGACCTCATCAGCCAGGTTCTGATGGAGGTGCTCACCCAGCACGCCTGCACCGGTAACCCGTTTGCCAACCTGTCTGCTACCACATCACCGGCGGTCGCCACGGCCGGCGCGGGTGGCCATTCACCACAGAGGTAAGGAGTGGGGCTCCATTGAGGGATTTCAGGTGATGTCAGGGCAGCCTTGTTGGCCATCTTGGGAGACTGAATCTAGCGCTCTTTTACCAGGGATGCATTACATCTGTTGATTTGTCTGGATTTCAGGAGTTTTCTAACCTGTCTTTTAAACTCTGGAAAAAATTCTGAGTTTACAGTTAAGGCGTTTTTATGCACAGAAGTGGATGTGGAACACTAAAAAAGTTGATTTTAAGGGAGCCCACAGGCCAACACAGTTACTGGTATGCGAACCATGGGCTCCGTGCTGCCTCGATGCCCTCAAAACCCTCTGGTGACTTTTCTGTGAATACTCCACTCTCCTCCAATCTCCACCTGACTTACACCTGTCAGTTGCAGATCTCGTTTACATACGCAGTCACCTCATGTCCTACTCGGTAGACAGAGCATATAAACGTTCAATTAAAGTCCTGGCGCAATCAGTCAGGTGTACCTTTAACATCTGCAATTTGCTGTGTGGAACTGTGTGGTTCGTGTGGTGAAGGAAATCCTGGAGGTCGTTGCAGTAAATGCCCATTCAGGGAAAAACTTGTCCTGTCGGTCAAAAATCAGTCACTTGACTGTGAATCCGCCTGCCTCCACAAAGCAGAAGTGACTGTTTATGTTTTCACTTGACACGGCTGCGTCTTGACTGTCCATGATTGATAAGCCAGCTTTGTCTACCAGTCTCTTGCCTCTGTCCGTTGATTGAATTTGACTGATCGCAGTACCAACCAGAATTATGATGCGAGTGTTGGTGACCGGCATGTATAAAGTCTAAGCAGAAGTAGTGGGACTGAATGATTAACTGTCTGTGACGGTTATACTTGTAGCAAAAAGAGTGTCATGTTTCCAGATAGATAACATCTCCTTGTGTCTTTTTTTTTTATCAGTCAGGCCACGGAGAATTTTGCTGGAGATCAAATTACACAGGAAATCACTCTGTATGGGTGTTCGTTTCAAAGCCCGCAGCATCAATTCTGTGTAATTGTCCGATTCCAGAAATTGAAATTGAATATCTTAACATGAAATATTCAACATCATAGTTCAATACTCTCACCTGTGCATGTTTACCTGGAAAGTGTGCTTGATTTACTCGGTTTGTGCTGACCGAATTTGACACCTGTGGCACTGCCATGCCGTTCCTGAAATCGCAACAAACGTTTCTCTTTAACTGAAAGTTGACCGGTTTGGGCATGAGACGTCACAAGTATCAAATTTGGTCAGTCACTGTTCTCTGTAATTGGCCTATGTATGACTTTGGATCTGCCCTAGAGGGAGCCAATGACATATTTACTGCTCTAAATTTGACAAGAGGCAATGAATTATTCAAGTCGACCAATGATAGCCATGTTTGATCAGCCATTCATTCCTGAAATGGCAATATCAAGATGGATATGTTTTCCAGGTAGCTGAGATGATTTTAGTAATGTTTGTGAAACCAGTGAGCAAGTGTAATTCGCCTTCAGATAGAAGCACCTCCTCGTTGGTCGAAAAGAACCGCATTGGTCGGGAGTGTTCATTTTGTAGCGATGCGACTGCAGCGCATGCGTTTCCTAGTTGTTTGTGAACCAGTGATGCACAATAAGTACCAAAGGAGCCTCTGTTGCTACAGCGCCCTCTCTTGGTCCAAGTGAAGAGCTGGTGTGGTTCTTAACTGCTCAACCACCTATTTGGTTTACATCAGGCTTGATGTCTCCCTATCATTTCCTTGATAAGTACTTGTATGCCCCAGTGGACTACAATGGCCCACTCAGGACAATTTTTAGCACAAATGCCAACATGTTAATGGTTAAAAAGGTTGATCTTTTTAAACTTACGAGTGCGAATTTTACACTCATTGCTGCAGTTCGTCCCAGCAGACATCAGTGGCTCCCAGTAGTGCGGGGGACCAGTGTAGCAGCAAACCGGAGAACCCCGAGCCAGAAATGCTGTCCTACCTCTTGCAGTGCTACCAACGCATCCGCAACGAGGAGCGCACCGCCCCCAAGGTAAAGAAGCGTCAAGTCCAAACTGCAGACTTGCACAGCAAAGAAATAATGGCGCCAGCAGGGTCCATGTTATCCGTTCCGCCGAGTTGAAAATGTTGCTTAGCACTTTTGTAGGCTAAGCTAAACTTTGCCTGGGACCATCTACAAGTCGATAGGTATACATGACATTTTGCCCTGTGGACTGTTTCAGATTGGCATATTTTTTCTGTTCTGAACAAATATGTCCATGAAATTGGCTTCTGAGCTGTCTTGTAATGCATATTCCTTTTAGTTTTTGTTCAGCCGAATTAATGGACCTGTAATTTTCAGTTTCAGTTATCAGACCACTGCGACTAATCTAATCAGGTCATCGTATTGTTCATTCATTTTTCCCCAATTCCAAATTCTGATTCAAAATCTAATTTTCAGCATCCAAAACAGACTCCATTTCTTGAGCGTATCCCGTGCAAACCAGTGTTTTTGAGAGCATGATTGTTTTTGTTGAACGCAGCGTTACAGCCAGCCACCGTTCAGCAATCTGGCCTCTGCAGCCAGGCTACAGTGCGTGCACCACGCTGGGCTGGTCCTACAAGGGGCCTTCACACAACCAGGGTCAGTTGGTCAATCTCTCCTTTTCTTGCCAGTGATTTGCCTTCTGCGAACGGAGTTCAGTGACGATGGGCTATCATGTAGTCACATTAGGCTTGATTCCCCAAATTATGTATTCAAAACACATGTCACTGGTTTCCTACATCATGAACGATTTTGAAACTCAAAACATTTGGGAAAATACCAACAGACAGCGCTATATTTGTAAATTTCCCATATGCAAATGCAGTACTGTTCAAATCTTGAAGCTGTGCTATGACATTCTGTTGACGTCTGGCAAATAGTTCTGCTGGGGATAGTTCATGGGGAAAAGATCTGCATACATTGTCAGGAAATAATTATAACTAGTTCTTGCACCAGCCAACTCGTTCTGTTATCGGTTCCTTATCCATTGCATTTGTGTGCACCTTTATACCTTTCTTAAATATATGAAAAAAAAAAAAATTGAAATCCTTTTCAGGATTAGAGTACTGAAAAGTGGACTTCTCTATTCATTTTTCCAAGCTTTTCTGGATAAGTGAGGGTGCTGTAATATGAAGTAAATCAAGAATGACACTTTTCCCGTGTTCATGTTGTCGCATTAAATTTGGAACCCCAATTTGGCTCTTTGAAAAGAGATCCGAGAAAATGGTTGCCCGCTGACTTATACCTTATGACAGTATAACGCCAAAGAAATGAAAAGTCATGACAGGAAAATATACAAAGTTTTCGCACGTTTTTGCGCACAAATTAATGCGATGTTGATCTTCAGTGCTTGGCATGACATCACAACTTAGCTCATGAACATGGACATTTGCACCAGCATTAAAACAAAAATGGCTCCACAATGCAGATTAAAATAGCAAAACAAAAGTCCAAAAACGAGGTTAATTGAAATGCCAAAGATGCAGTTTCAATTGATGCGGTAAAATAATTGTATTGCATGGTCATTTTCAAATGGTCTGTCGTTCGTCTCCTTACACCTTGAATGGCACCGGATTTTTTTGGGCTTGTCCATCAGGTCTTCAACTTTGTTATTAGCCCCCCTTCTTTTGAGTCATTCACTCCCACGGGGGTTCCTCCAGGAGCTGGTCTCGGCAACCAGGGCGGACAACGCAAGCTTCCAGATGGTAGGTAGCCCTTTTCGTTGCCTTCTGTTCCTTTAAATGCTTTGAATTTCAGGCTGCCAAATCCAATGTTATCCTAACAATTCAATTCACCCTGTAAATTGCGTGCTCCTCCCATAGATATTTACTCCAGTAATAATTGCGCTGGTACAAGCTATCCAGAGATGTTCATTGGACAGTGACAGCTACAAAGCTCCCTTATCTGTGAGTTTGAAAACCCCTCCTCTCTCCTTCATGTGTGCATTTGTTTGTTTGTGGTCATTCTTACAGTCCTTTGACTTTTTTT